TATTAAATTGCTCCATTGTAATTCACATTTGGAATAAGTTCAAATATCACCCTTATCAAAGAAATTCATTCATATTATTTGGTGAAATTTATAGTGTTGGATAGTTATAGACAGAGTCAACGAAAAATTCAATTATTAAATTGATCCAAAATCCTTCTTTGGGATGCACAGCAGGTCATCAAAAAATATACTGCAAGACATAACTGCCAGGGAAGGAACTTCAACACATAAATCCAAAAACACTTCAAGCTCATTTCTAAGAACAAGTTTCAATGTGAAAACCATTGCAAAACCTTCAATCGTCTAAGAAGGGGTGTCATCCCTGATATTTTCTTTTTTTTATAAAAGTGAGGGACGAGTGATACTTCATTGAAAAGAACTTGCGATTCCTTGTACATGCTGCTTAGTAAGTAGACAACACCTTCGAAAATTGAACTTGTGACAGATATTTTTGAAAATTCCGTTTGTGTCCTTTTTTCTTCCTGGAAATTCAACCGTTGATATGTACCCATATTTACATCGGAATGCTATCGACTCAGCTCTCACTAATATCATACAGAATGATCCTGCATGGACTGAAGAGGAAATGATGTTTAAACAAGATGGTTTCGAACTCAATGCTTGATTACTCAACTCAAGTCCTTTAGATTTTTTATACAACAAGAGTATTAGGATAACCTTTATTCTTATATGGAGGTTGGCGGACATTTCCAGTATTCACTTCATTATTACTCAATTCTCAAGTACAAATAATTTGAATTCAATACAGAAAATCAATTACTATCATTTTTTGCAGCAAATCACTGTTTTTTCATCAAATCAGCATCATTCACTATTAATCTGAGAACTAAAACAACTTTATTTGATTTCGGTGTGCATCTTGTTACTGCTCTCGACTGGGCAAAATTAAAATCTGTGGATTATTCATTAATTTTTTGAGAGCCTACTATCATTTAGATAAGAGATTACTTTTAAAAATGTATCAACGTTGGAGGCGTTGCTCAAGACTCAATGGAGTTATAGTGCATTCCTCAAGGATCTATACTGGGACCACTGTTATTTCTAATATATGCAAATGATTTAATAAAACATCTTCACGACTTTTCAATGGTACATGTAATTGCTTATGAACACAATACAAACTTTCTGATTAAACCAGACAGTATGACAGCACTTGCAGAAACATCTGAAACTGTCTACAGAAGAGTAATTATATCGGCTACAAAAAATCACTTGTCACTCAATGTAAATGAAACAGTATTGATGAATTTCTCACTGCAAACTCAGATATTGAGTCGAAACCCTTCATCGAAAACGATGAATCGATGAAGGTATCACTCGACTCCCAATCCCATTTAAGAAAATTTGGCGAATGAGACTTTACAGAGTTGAAGGTTTTCTAATGGTTTTCGATTTATGTCTTACCAGCTTACAAACAAGCATGACATATTATTGGATTTTTATGATAAGTTCTTTCTCTGGTGGTATGTTTTCGATGGACCACCATGTGGTTACTAAACACAGGAACAGTAATTTCTCTTTGGAAATGCAACAAAAGTATCGAAGTATCACATGTCACTCTATGAGTTGTTTTTTTAATGATAATATTGATGATAGGCGAATGAGTTTTTCTTGAAAATTAAAATGAAGGAGAGCTGTTATAACGAATAGAACCACAATTGTCAGTGTTTTTTTTTTATGAAACTGCTTGCTAATACTGGTAGCTGACTAAGCTACTAAGTACATAGTTTGAAAAGACAAATCAAGAAATATATAGAAGAAAACAGCCTCACGCTTTAAAATTCTTCAATAAAAAAATCAAATACTCATTCAATTGAGTTGTAACTCTGTAAAACTTCAGAATTATTTCTATCTAAAAAAGTGTGCAGTACCATCAAGAGTATGGGCGGCCCAAGGGCTGAATCAAATAATTCAGGCCAACTGCATCTTTCAAAGCCCATTCAGGCTAACACATTTACATACTAATAGAAAAAAGCTATGGTTGTGACTTTCAAAGCCTCAATTTTCTCTCAGAAAACTGAAACGATATGTAGACTCTTGTTATGAATGAGGAACTGACAGAATTTGGGAAAAGTTTTGATACATCGGCCTGGCACTCTCCAAGAATTATGTCTAATATATCATGTTAGGATAACCAAAGTAAGGTTTCACAAAAAGTACCATAGCTTGAAAAAGTAAAAAAATTAATGATTTATTCTTTCAATATGAGATCTGGATGTTATTTTTATGTCTAGGGAACAATCATTCTATTGATATATTTTATGTATAACTCCTCTATCAAGAAATTTGACTTTTGGGGCTAATGTAATTTTAAAAAACCATGTTATATTTTTTCATTCAGTCCATTAAAAATGTTTTCAACGCAAGTCATATAATTCCCAGTTATTTCACTGTCAATTCCGAATCATAAATTTTAATTTAATTCAAGTTATGCTTTATAAATACGAAATTATCCAGTAAGAGGTTGAAATCAATATTTTCATGTCATTTAGTAAATGACAAAATGTAGGTTAACATAAAATCAATATTTAAGTAAGTAAATCAAAACAATGTGAGAAAAAATAATCAACAAAAGATAATCAGTAGAGTATCTGATTATGTAAATGTGAAAACCATGTTTACATAGTTGAATTATTTCTATTAAACTAGTTGTTATTTACTCGTGTCAATGTCATTTCAAGTTCACCAAGACATTGTCAACTTAAATGTCTATAGCTTCATTCGACCAACTTTGTTTCATGAAAGCTAACCAAGGAAACTGAAAACATGTAGATCCTTGTATGTTTTCGGTAGGGACTCAAAGAAAAAAGCCACAATGGCCGTTATTTCTAGCAAACCCATGCATATAACTTCATATTATGAAAATCATACTGCTTCACTTCCTAACTTTTTCACATATAGACTAACAGCTGTTATAGGATCATTTTTTTGGTAGCCATTTCAGTGGAACCAAAACGGACAGTTTGTATTGATTTGTCCAAACTGGGTTCGAACAAACTTTAACTTGTAATACTTTGAATTGAAGATTTGCAAATACATTGGAATTTTTTGCTACTTAGAAAATCTGGGGAACTCAAAACTGCAGTCCACGTGAATGAAGTCATGGCCATCAGCTAGTTCCTAAACTTTTTGGATGATTTTTTTTGTCAAAGTCTGCAAACTGACTATCATTTATCGAAAGACAAGCTGAAAAACTTAATCCAGAAATAAAAAACGTTAGGACTTGATAATGTACTTTAGATTATCGTTTGTTTGAATGTGGTTGACAATGTATCTTGCTATAATAGGTTGGGATACCAATTGTCCAAAAAGGTGTTAGCAGATTTGAAATCTAAGGATGAAAAAAATAAAACTGAAATGAATGAAATATTCGAATTATACTAAAAATAAATGGACTGAAATATTCGGTAATTTAGTTGAAACAGAAATAATATCAGAAATGGAAAGAAATTGACAAAACTAGATATAAAAAAAAACATTGTTAGAACATTAATTTGTAATGAAAATAAACTGACCTGAAATAGAAATGAATTATTAAATGAGTTCCATAATAGGTAAAATGTCAATTATATGCAAACAATAAAAACTGAATAAACTGAATGAAAAATTGAAATTAAAAATGAAAATAAATTATGAAAAAAATTGAAAATAAAGATTTCATAGCAAGCTACTCCACAATGTAATCATTTTGAGGTGGTAACTGGCCTATTCCTGATATTCAAAACTATTTCTAGATTACTTGGGCACTTTTTCTTCTTGCCACTCTCCACCCAGTTTCTGTTTATGCAACGCAGACAGCTCTCGTGTATCATGATTAGAAGTTTTCATGATTTCCTAGGTTCAAGAGACAGTTCAAAAAAGCTGCGTACATGTTTGAAAATGATGAATTCAACCAGGTTAGTTATGCGTTACACTGAACCGGAAACCAGGAGCAGAGAAGTGAAAGCACAGAAATAACCTATAGTCTCACAAAATGTCATGAAGTAGCTTGGTTTGAAAACTCTTCAAATAATATTGTTTACATATAAAGTCAACAACGGTGGGCCCAGTACTCTCCCTTGGGGGACACCTTTATTTAGGCATTTTCTCCGTTGAAACAAAAATGTTAAACTTAGTTACTTCGTGACCTATTAAGTAGGTAGCTTTAGAACCAAGTTACTTTGTCAGTTGAATCATAATACCGTAATTTACTTAATAAGGTGACCATTTTGACAAGGTTAGTTGCAAAGCAGTTTCACAGGAGTGATTACTTCTAAATCCAAACTGGTATTCCATTGGGGGTTTACTCTATCGACATAATAAACTACTTTATTATAAATAAAGACCTTCAAGCTACTTTTTCCAAGCAGTGTATTACACATGAACTATTATACTAGTTTCAAGTTGATGAGGGAAGGAAGATACCCGTTTACAGTTATGTATTTACAAAGTTCACAATTACGGGACCAACAAAGTCAAATACATTGATGGATGCATTTTCAAACTCATACATAATTGTATAAGTCCTTATAGGGCGAAACTGCAGTAACTCTAGTTACAAATAAAAGTGGCAAAAAACATGGGAATTTTGCATTGCGGGAAATTTAATAAAAAAGTTTCCTATATGGTGCAAACTTTTTGAAACTCACTATATAATATGTACTTATTATCCAAGTTTATTATAGACTTCAAATCTTTGAGGGTGCAGCCTGAATTTGCCAAATATAAGCATTCCATTTCTGGAAAACTGTGATTTGACAAAGGAGAAGATGGGCCACTAGTCTTAATTTCGTGAATACTAGCAAATAAATAAGAAAATTTGGTCTAAGGTAGCTGTTCTAAATAAATAAAATGATTTTAAGGGTATGAAAATCCCTAGTTTTTACTAAAGAGAATTTTAAAAGACATTTAGAAATAAAAAGGAAGACATTTTCGAAACAAAGTTCACGTGATTTCAGAGGTAATTTTTTACTTTTTGGAACAGTCATAAATGTACTTACTGTTATGGCTATAACCAGTTGGAGCTTCATATGCTTGTTCTTGTTGGTCTAGAATTGAGTTCAGATTGTGAGCTTGCATAAACAGATTGGTTTCCTGATTACGTCTTCTCATATCCTCCTGTTGCTGTTGTAGAATACGTGAGGCCATGTCTTCCTGTGTGCGTCTCATGTGTACTTCGGTCCTAAGCCTCTCCTCTTCTACTTGTCGTTGCTTCATCTCCCATTCTCTTTTTTGCCTATCCTTGTCCATTTCACGTGCTCTGAGTTGTTCCCTCAAGACCTCAGTTTCATGCTCAAACTTAGCATATTCCATTTGGGCCTCCAATTTTTCTTTCTCCAACTCCAGTTCTTTTTTGAGGCTCTCTTGTTTTTGTGCAAAAAGATCATACAACTGCTTCCATCTCATACCGTATTCATTTTCAAATGAACCTGGTTTCGCAAATCTTGGACCCTGTTCTCTTTCTTTGTGGTAATCTATATTCTTCTTAGGAATGTTCTTGTCTGGATAACCGTCAATATCATCTACGACATCATGAGCTTCTACAACACATGGTCTTAAGGATCCAGTTAGGAAATAGCAGCCTTCGGAGCATTTTCTGATTGCATGCAAAGCTGAACCTTTACGTGAGAAATCTATAATAGCTTCTCCAGTAGGTTTGCCTCTATCATCAACAGTGACAATTGCTTTTTCAATCTGCAAAAGAAAAGCACTAATAAGAAACTTTTGGCAAAAAAATTGATCCCTCCCTCTTGCTACAATTGTGATACTCACCTCTCCGAACACAGAAAATGCATGATGCAAAAGCTCATTAGAGACGAAAGGTGTGAGATTCTTCACTTTAATTGTGGTGGAATTTGGTGCAAACCTAATTTTCAAATTACGATTCTTCAATACTGATCCATCAAGTTCTCTTTTAGCTTTTTCAGCATTACTGTGGTAGTCCAACTTTACAAAACCGAAGTTTTTGTCTTTGTTCAGAAATAGTTCAGAGGTTTCTCCGTAAGGTTTGAAGAGTTCAACAATATCATCTTCCGTTACATCAGATGGAATATTCCCAATATACAACCGATTTCTACCATTAAATTTCTTCTCAGCCATATCAATCACAGGTAAATCGAAAGTTGGACCAGACAGCTGCTGAATTCGTTCAATTAATTTATCATCAGGACCTCTCATACCGAAACGTCCACGACCTCCCATATCAGCCCTACCTCCTCTTCCGTAGTCTCCATCTCGAATACCCTCACCCTCTTGACCATCCTGAGTGTTCTCATGCTTTATGCCTCTTCCCTGATACCCACCTCGGCCACGCCTGTTTTCAAAATTTCCTCTATCTCCTCCGCCTCCTCTCTAAAACAAAGAAAAAATACATAAAAGCTATATTAACTTAATAGTACATTTTCATCTTCACTCATGTGTAAAATTCTCACATCTTTTTTTGACACGGACAACCTCACTAACACTAAACCTCACTAAAGAAGCATGTGCTTCTGAAATTACAATAGAAAATGATTTTGACATTCATCAACTGTAATAAGTTACTACACTATTCAGAAAAGTCATCTAGATCATACTGCGATGCCTCATGTGACATATTTTGAAAATTTTCAGATCATCTGCAAACATGATAAATTAACAATGGACAGAAACAGTAGCACCATCATTGATATACACTTATAACAACATTAGGCCCATGTGGAATCCCTGAGGATCTCTCAAGGCATTCCTGATGGTACATGAATCTGTCTTAATACTGAGTTGCCATATTCAACATAATGAACTCTTTGCGAAGGTAGTTTTCTATCCAATGTAAAACATTTCTCAACCAACTTATTTTCTAGGAAACTGATGATACAGTTTTCATGAAATATTAAGATAGTAGCAGTTGATATATCTGTTGATTTTTCTTTGGTGAAGCCAAAGGTCATAAGACAATCAACATTTTGGAAAATACAGATTAATTCGAGTTCGGGTCGAATAGACACACTAAAATGTCTCCAACAGTGGTCAATTTCAAATGTTGTTCAACTAGATCTTTTATTCACTCTGTGTGTATTAACTGCCACAGTGTCTATCACAAACACTGTTTACCTCGTTTTAGAAATAAAATCAGTATGATTCAAGAAAATCAGATATCTTCCTGAGTGCATTAAATAAAGTACTGGATACGATACCTTCTAATAATCAAGTTATTGCGATTGGCGACATTTAAATTTAAATGTCTTAGACAACATAAATATAAACGATTGTATAAATATTTTCCTGTCATACAATTTAGAGGAAAAAGTTAATGAAAATACACGAGTAACCAACACTAGTGCTACAAAAAATGATAATGTGTTTACTAACATAAACGACTTGATTGTGGAAGTAATTGAACCGCATATGTCAGACCATAAAGGCATTTTTTTTCCTCTATTGTACAAGTTCCACATCTAAAGATAAGTATATTTCATGCAGACCCATGACTGAACATGGTAAACAACAGTTCATAGAATGCGTGAATAATTTGAATTGGGAAATATTTTATGAAATAAACATTCCTGATGAATCTGCAAACTTCGTGGTGAACACGTTATCAACATTGTATAATAAATGTTTTGTTGAAAAAATTATAAAAATATCCAAGCAAGATAACAAAGAGTTTGTTTTCGATAATGATATGTAACAGTTAAAACTCACCTTGGATGCTGTTCATGTAATTGCTTGTTCAACTAAGAATAATGAATATTTTCATGTATATAACACTGAAGAAGGACTACAAAAATAAAATAAAACAAGGAAAATTGAATGCAAATAGTAAAGGACTCCTAACTGCTGATAGCAAACAAAAAACAGCATGGGACATACATAATCAATGAAAATAGAATTAATAAAAATTCTAATGTAAAGTCTGAATTGACAGCTGATGATTTCTCGGAATACTTCTCTTATCTCTGAATTTCTTTTTACATATTCACAAATTATCAAAGCAACTATCAACGTGTATATACATGATAAGACAACTTAGAAATATAATAACAACGGATTATTTGAGAGTAGCTTATTTCACCATTTTTCACAGCGTAATGACGTATAGACTAATATTTTGGGTTCATCATGTCATCTGGATAAAATATTTAAACTACAAAAAAAGCAGTAAGAATTATGGTAGAGGCTAAATATGATGATCATTGTAAACCTCTTTTTGAAAATCTCCGTATATTAACTCTGCGATCTTGCTTCATATATGAATGTCTGTGTTATGTTAAAAATTTAATAAGTGAAAATAAATTGACTAAGCAGGAGGACATACACTACCATGATACCAGGGCCAAAACAAATGTAAGGCTGCCCAAATATAGGTTAGGTAAATCGCAAAACTCTTATTTATATATGTCTTTGAAATTTTTTAACGTGTTACCATATGAGTTTCAGACTTTGGACATAAGTATGAACACTTTTAAAGTGAAAATTAAGAATATTCTTTTACAGAATGCCTTTTACACATTCGAAGAATATTTTAATTATTTCGACTCATCAACAAATTTGTTGCGTGTCTAATAATAGATATTTTTATACAACAATATTTATGTATTTATTTGACTGTATTGTGTTACATTTTAATACATTTATATTCTATTTATCTCATTGACGTATGTGAATACTTTTTATGTATGCATTGCACGAATAAATTCTATTCTATTCTAATTTGTAAATATCTCTGTTACTTTCAACATAAACATGAGAACCACAGAAATCTAGAAATTTTCCTTCCTTAAGACAGTGAATAACAAAAAAAAATGGTTGCCTAACATGAAAATATAATTTTTGATCAGATGCAGAGTATGTCAATGGGACCTACAATAGTCAGTATCAAATCAATAACTTCCTCAATTTATGCTATAATGGCTATCTTGTGAAAGTTGTACTGAGGCATTTAATTTACTAAGGTATATTCTTACACTTTTGAAAAATATTTTGAGAAATAATAGACAACTTCAAAACTAGTATTAAATATTGGAGATATATCTACGATAGTAATCCTCTCATGAGGTTTTATACGAGTTCTAAGATTGAAATCTATAAGCTTCCACATTGCCATTTTTATGTTCTGTGTACTTCTTCTTTCTTCCTGTATGAACAATAATACACTGAAAATAATTTTTTAAAAAATCCAAACCAGACCTGGGAGGCAACTGGAACAGCTGACAACATAATTTTTACTGATAATTTGTTTCCCTTTGTACCAAAAGTTATTGACCAATGTTAGATGCTTGTGAAAATATATTTAGACTCATTTTCCAATTTGAAATGTGAGAGTAGATGCAAATCAATGTTCATTCCAATATGAATTGTTATAGCAGAGCATAAAAAAGGTATAAAACAAAGAAAAATCCCAGTTTGACAATTACCCTAAGTGAGTTATGGAATAAACCAACTCAAGTGGAACATGATTTTATCATATCTTTACTGAAAGGTAGGACTGGAACCTTTGGTGTAGAATGAATTCAACATAAACATTACTCCCACAAACCAGAACATTCTTCTTAATGCAAGTTTCACCAATCAAGTTAGCGAAACGTACCTGGAAATCATGACATACTGAGGAAATTCCAGTTGATTGGTCAACATTTGGGTTGTTACATGTTCAAGGTGCAAGATTACCACCTTAATGACAGCAGCAACCTTATCGTATGAGGGCATCTACACATGAAGACACATTAGATTTAGCCATGCAGAATTTCTGGTTCAGGAAAATCATCATTTGATTGCAAGCCTTTGCTGACCAACCCATGAGGGTTGGTCCTCTCCCGATGTAGATTTTGGTGTTGAAGAATTTGACACAAGATAGATTCATATGACAACCTGCTCCTGGTTCAGAAAAATCATCATTTGAGTGCAAGCCTTTGCTGACCAACCCATGAGGGAGTTTGTTTCCTCTCCTGATATAGATTTTGCTGTTGAAGAATTTGATGCAAGATAGATTCATGTGACAACCTGCTCTTGAGGATGTGATGAGTCGCTTCCTGGCTGCACCACCTGACCTAAGTTTGTTAGCAGGATCACGAGTTGAAGAACTGGAAACTCTTGCTCTTTTTCCGATGTAACAGGAAGGACAGTTGGGGTTGTTTATTTGATGTTCATATCCTCAATAGGCTCAGGATCGGATTCTTTGGTTACTTCATGGTCCATAGCTAAGGAAAGGAAGTTCAACACAAAAGAGCCCTACATTACCACGCAAAGGCTTTCTAAGAGAGCACCCAGAATCTCAAAGGTTCTATAAGTGATCAAAATGGGCTGAATTCATACATGCTTTAATGGCAAGTATATTCTAACGGGGCAGGGCAGTACCTCCATATCTAGTAATAATGTGGAGGTAATCATCTGAATTTGTTTGAAGCTGGAAGAAGTAATAAACAAAAAACACTTACACTTCCGCCTCTGGGTCCACCAAATCTTCCTCCGCGTCCAAATCTTTCGCCGCCGCTACCACCCTGACGATCGCGACCAGAATTGTTTTGCCTCTCTGATCCTGCAGGCGAAGAACCATCATTTGTTGACGATTCGGCCTTAACGATCGTGGTATCAGAGTTACTGTGAGCTTCCATTTTTGAAGAAAATTCCAAATCCAAATATTCAAAACACACAGCCCAATTTTATTTGAGACTCCAAGAAATAAAATGGCAGACCGATAAGGAGAACATACGCGTACCCATGCACGCACAAAATCACAGAATCAGAGCACAGAATAATATCAGGATCGCCACTCGATATTTTATTTTCGATTGTGCACCAGTGTGCACCACGTTCATTCAGTCGTGCAGATCCATAATTTACAAAATTTTGCTAAGCAAACGACTTGAGTGAATAAAAATCTGATAAAATCATCTTATTTTTTTTGTAACATACACGAAAACATTCGCATAAAAGCAAAGTTTTGAAAATAAAGAGATTGCACACATTTTGATCGATTGATCTTGGTGTACAAGAGAATGTCCAGAAAGAGAAAACGATAACAAAATCTCAGTTTCAGAATTTGAATTCATATGGAATATCCCAAAAGTATTGAGAAAACTATAATTATCTGTCAAAAATATAAATGTTCAAAGCGTTTGTCATGAGCACATATTTCTATTCACTTCATCTGGTTGAACTGGTCTAGTGCATTTATTAGTTGTAACACTCTTCAATAGTTGCCTGGGCTACAACTTTTTCATCGTCTTTATGCATTAAAAAATGCATGATTTTGTAACTTCTGTGCATGCTCATGCTCGATATATCAGAATAAAATTTTCAGAAGCGGACGTGGGCTTAGAGTCGTATATAGGGGGATTATGAAATAGAGCCGATTACTGATAATAGGGTACCTGAAGTAAGGGGAAATGCGTGTTCCTTCAATGACGTAATCTATTTGTTTAGGCGAGTTCTTGAATTAGACAGAATATTTTTGATATACTGCTTCAACTAATTGAAACGCGTTAACGTTTCGAATGGACCAATAGACTTATTTCTTCATTGCAAACTTTTGTATACTGTGTTTTTAGAGTATAACAACTCCGTTACGTGATAACAATAATTGGATGATCTGATTTGCGTGAGAATTTGTAAGAACATCCACATGTAGACCTTCATGTAGAAAAGTGAAGTTCCAAAGATTTCCTAGGATTATTGATTAAACCAAAAATGGATTTAACACTGCATTTATCCCGGTGAAAGTTCTGAGACAAATTTTAAGAAACAACTTCTATATATCATTTCCAAAAGGAGCTCTCGAAGAAAATGGTTTGTGAATTTCTAGAGAGACTGATTATTATTTTTTGCAAATGGTCAGGAAAAGTCACATTGCCCCTTGTATAAAGGTGTCTACCTTCAATGATTCATGTGATAGATTAGTGGAAAAAACAAGACATCAATAATAGATCGTATGTTATGAAAGCTAGAGTAAAAAAGTTTCAGTCTTCACAACAGAACATTAATGACTTTTCTATTGCCGATTTGAAATAAAGATGCGGGTCTCCACACTATAAGTATTGTTCAACCGTCAAAGCCCAATGCTAATTATATTCAACTTTTTTTAAAGAAAATCCTTAAGGCGCTGTCAGGGCGGTGTCTGTGCGAGAGTGTTAAAAAAATATGTTTTCTTTGTTAACCAGCTGTCGCACCCCTACGAACGACAACCTTCAGAAGTCGTAACTTGTGCGAGCTAAGGACTAACGGGGTCTTACCTTTCAACGTGTGATTCCTAACACAGGGGTAGTAGTGATTCACATTGGATTTAAATCGCTGGAGATTAAATCCATTTGGAAAACCGTAGTCAGGAAGTGTATTCCACATAAACGCAGTTCTCCAAATGAAAGAGTTTTTGAACAGTAAAATTCGAAGTGTACTGAGTTGAACCTCAAAACGATGAGCAGCTATACTTCGTCGCATATTTCTGATATGTACCGCTCTTGGTGGAATCAAATGAGTCAAATCACTTGAATACTTTCCGTGACAGACATAAATCTCCAACCTTTTCTTCGATATTCCAGACTATCAAGGTTGCAAGTGATGTTCGCGTCTCCAATCAGGCGGATGGCTCTTTTCTGGATGGAATCCAGCAGCTTCAGGGTATGCTTAAGGGCGGAGCTCTATACATGCGAAAATAATACTCCAATGAGGGTCTGATCTGAGCTTTATAAAGCATCGAAAGTTGCTGAGGTGTGTACAGTTTTCTGGTTCGGAACAGTGTTCCAAGCTTTTGAAAAGCGGCTTTTGCAATTCCAGCGACATGATTGTGTCAAGACATAATGGTGTCCATTTTAACCTCCAACAAACTTATCGATGCAGAAAGTGAAATTGTCTAACCTGACATTATTATGGCCGGTTCGGGTACATTTACCTTTTTGGAGAAAACCGATGCCTGAGTTTTTGTGGCATTAAATTGAACCTGGTTATTTTCACCCCAATTCGAAATTACTTCTAGATCCTCATTAAAATATGCAACCTCCTGGTGCCGGTGAAGGAGTGCATCCGCCACCGATGTCCTGGAATTCAAATGAAATGACGAAAGAATTGTGCTGTCGTCAGCAAAGCAATATATTGGATTCTTGTTTTTTTCAATAAGTCATTGATATACAATAGAAAGAGGGTTTGAGACAATATAGATCCCTGGGGAACACTAGCGTTGATGGTAAACTTATTCGATAGATATCCGTCGACGGTCAATTGCAGGAAACGTTCTTTCAGGGAGCTGAAGAGCCATACACAATAATGATTCGACAAGCCATAGCTTCGAAGTTTGGCCAGCCAACCCTCATGCCACACACGGTCAAAAGCCATAGAAATATCAAGCGCTACAGCTCTTGACTCTCCATGTTTATCGATTGCGTTATTCCAAACATGGGTGACATACGATAGAAGGTCGCCTGTTGATCTTTGTTTCCGAAAGCCATCTTGATGATCACTCAAGATGTTGAAGCCTTCCAAATATTTGAGGATATGGTGGTTTACGGCTTTCTCCATGATTTTTGATATCTCTGATAGTAAAGTGACTGGTCTATAGTAATTTAAAAGATTTTTCTTGCCCTTTTCGGAAACAGGCTGAACGCAAGCAATCTTCCAACAATAAGAAAAAACCCCTTTCTTGTAAAACAGGTTGAAAAGTCTGCAAAATACTGGTGCGAGTTCATTTGCGCACTTTTTACGTACGATGACGGGCACTTCATCAGTACCAGACGCTATGTTGATAAGATAGAGAATCGCTCTGGCAGGCAACCCATCATACAAAAACAAAAGAGTACCGAAAAAGTTCTGGCAAAATGGAGCATGATTCAAGTTTCAAGATGCCAATATATCTAAAAAAATAAAATTATCACAAATCAGATAACGATTCTACGGTGTAACTATTTTGCAGGTCAGCAAATTGTCCTCAGTAAACGTTGATCACGTAATCTTGTAGAAAGGCAAAAATTCTTGCAGGTCGGGTCTCCCACACATGAATCGTAGATATGAATCTCGACCAGGTTAACCATTTTCGACAGAAAAATTTTCCAACCACCCTTCCATAAATATTCTGCTGGTTGAATTGATTCCACGTCATATAAGTTGAGTACTCAATTTTTTTTTAAATTCTTTTGCAAAAATTTCCAATCTTTTATTTCAGTGGTGACTTCCAGGATGACTTGAGATTAATTCAATTATTAGGTACTTCCTCGGAATCTGATTCTTCCATTGAAAATACACCCTTCATGAGTATGCATGGACTTTCCTGGTTACGAAAATGACTTCTGTGGAACCCAACCCAAACCTTGTTTATTTAAAATTACAAAGGTCCCCACGGCGAATTGTTGCAAAGACTACCGTATACTTTTTGGTGTCCTAGCTTCGATACTGACTGCCGCTTCATCATAATCTCGAATACTGCAATATAAATAAATAAATAATAAACTGTTTCGAACTAGCACTTTTTCCAAACACCACAAGTGCAATACTCACTTGGCATGCGTTTCACGAACCAAGTCGGAGAGTTTACTATATATAATAATTAGCTCATTGTGGTAGATTACATGTTTACAGATACAAGTATATATTTTGTGTTGAATAATAGAAAACAATCAATACTTTTTGTCAGCAGAAAACATTTGAAGCACTCAGTCAATAAACACCATGAAAAAGATTTCAATTTTCACATACCTTCACGAGAAATTCAGTTTTCAATGTCTTGAGCAGTTAATTTTTATTTCACTGTGGGCAGTAGAAGAAAATTATCTTCCCTGACATTTTTTCATGTCCGTGATTTGTCTTCATTTAAGTCACTGTATTATTCTAGCATATGGTTATTTAAATATACCTACTCCTTTTCCTATACCCTTTTACCAGGGTTAAATTTGTTAAATCTATATCACTCGATTATTATCTAGTTCTTATTCAAGGTTGAATCAAACCAAGCATAAGAAATGTAAGATATCTTTCTACAGTTCAACCTATGACTTGTAGGTGAAGGTGTCTGCTGGAATTGAGATTTTAATAAAATATTGTGAATTATTTGGGTGGGGGTTGGAATTTTTTATTGTCGAAAATATTGGTCAAATGCGCCTGTAACCAACGACAATAACCAGAAGAAGAAGAAGAGTTACCTGTGACAGAAGAAAGATATTCTGTGATAAGGATCGAGAAATTCTATTTGAGAAAATGGCGGCCTCATGGTATATCCCAAGGTTCTTATACAGGGGTGGTTATGGAATGTCAGTTTTTGGCTGCCATGTTTCTGATTTTATTGGAGGAAAATGGCGCTAAATTTGAACTAGTACAATACTATGTGTAGATTTGACTCGACAAGGAAACAAAATAAGTGATTTGAAAAAATGCTTGTATCTGAAAAAAATCCACTGTAATAACATGACCTGGTCATAAAAAACCCATATTTTTCCTAGGTTCTGTTGAAAAGCCATGATGAATAAAATCGTGCTTTGTTGGTTTCCTTGACAACTTTTATTTTCACAGATAAGTACCTTCGGCAATAGAATTTTTATATAATCCAAATTATTTTCAGAACTTCTGATTGTTTTTGAGAAACTCCTTGCAAACATGTCTTCTCATCTCAAGGTAAATGCACGTAATCTTTTTGGGTTCTTCAACTACTCATCGAGTAAGACCTTTTTAGCCACATTCAAGCAAAATGAAACAATTACAACAAATAAGTGTTTATTGTTAGAGCAAAGCCATCAGATTCAGTTCATGATTATTAGACACAGGAAAGTCAAAACATCGACATTTCAATAATTTGCTACAAAATCAACATACTCAAGACAAATTTCATTAGTAGTCATAATTACTAACACATAAACTAAATTAGGAAATGTTATTTATTGTCAAGTATGAGTACGCATACAAATTATTTTTATATGCATTAGCAACCAATTTTGATGGATATTATTTTTTTCAGACATATCATTTTCACAATAAATCAGGTGCATAACAGGTCAATTTTATTCAACTATAAATCAATCATCTATTTCACGATTTGGTGAAGAATATTTGCTTCCTGGTTAATCATTTTACCTTATAGAAAAGAATGTAGTAATTTAGTAAGCCATATAGAAAAGTCATATGAAACAAGCTGCAACATATATCTTTAGAACTTAGTCAGGACCTATTTATTTTGAAATTTAAAACTACTTTCAGAGATACTGATGTAGGAGTTGAAAATAAGTGGGTTTTTGTCAAGTTATTGAAGGTCTTGAGACTTTCAGCCCTCATTTCTGAAAACACTTACGATTTGAAGAGGTCTTGATGGATCGTTTCTCCGAAAATACAGACAAACCAATTCAACATCCAGTTGAGACTCACGCAACATTCACATGCTGTTTCTAATACTATATTATATTTGATAACCTACATAGCTTTCGAGCCCTTTTGTGTAGCAAATGTAATTAAGGAAAAAATGGAAATGATAAAATTCACATGTGTCTTAAAAATAATAATTTCATTCTGGTCACTACCCTATTGTTCCATTCCATCCATTCAGTGCTTGAACGACGAAATCTAGAAAGAATATTCTTGAATGCTCATTATTCCTATTGGACTACAACTCACCTCTACAGTTGTTAATGAAGAAAGAGATTTTGAGCAATGTCCTTTGATTTGAAACATCCATGTAGTGACCAATTCAAAAATAATTTCTTGTGAGCTGAATTTTCTAATTGAAAAACCTTCACTTCAACTTCATAAAAATGACTAGATATCCGATACTTAATTACACATGCCTTATATCTACTGTTCTAACCATGAAGGAAATGTTGAACTTGGAGTTTTCACTTTAATGTTGAATTGTTTCAAGGTGGCTTCTAGGGCTTGTTGATTTCCAGAAAAATATGCTGAGACTGCATTGTGGAACAGAAGTAACTGCTTATGCATCACTTTGATCTGTAAAATTATTCATTGTTTTGAATTATAACATGTCATCGTCCTGATTGTAAAACCACATTACTCCAGAAGTCAAATCTTTCAATCTATATTTGTGAATTATGCTTGTAAAGAAATTGATTGACTATTTAGAATGAGAGATAAATGTGACAAAGTAAATGCGGTGACATCTCTCATTGCAAAAACCCCATATATGGGAATGACAGAAGACTCAATTAACGAATACCAAAGATAAACAAGGCTCTCCAAGGCTGAAAGAAATTCGTTCTCTGTCAGTGCAGCTACCACTTCAAGGTAACTAGATGGAACCGGACCCCAAAATCAAAGCACTTGTGATGTAATAGCGCTGTTACGACCCGCCAAGGTCACAGCAGTGGTTATAGGCTGAACCACGAATGCATTACTGGGACTCAACTGTCCTTATCAAATCAAATTCATTTTTGTAGTCATTTCTCTGATATAGTAACATACCAAGATAGAAAATAAATATCACTACATAGTATAAAAAAAAGTTGCTTCCCGCTGTCTGTCCCTATGTATGCTTAAATCTTTAAAACTACGCAATGGATTTTGATGTGTTCTTTAATATATCGACTGATTCAAGAGGAAGGTTTATATGTATATAACATGCATAATATAGTAGGGAAACACTGATAATTTTGAAGGTTTTTAATGTGATGTAAATAAACACATTTTTTGCGCTCACATTGCAAACGTTGGCTGAACCCTACCAAATAGATAAAAAATGTATTACAGTATTGTGCACCTTTATCCTCGAGAAATAATGGCTCATTTACAAAGCGATTTTGAACAATACAGCATTAATCCTTATCCAATTAAGTATTAAGTATTGAGAAATGAACTTTAAATGTTCAAGGCCGTCTAGGATATACCTACACAGTAGGTTGAATGGACTGACGCCTATCAGAAAACAACTCTTCCACTGGCTAATACCCCGAACGGTGTTGGATTATATCCGACAGGCGTCGGTGCAGAAATCTTCACAGATTTGTTTACTGCCTGTCTTCAAGCATAGCCCACTGACTAATAAGAAAGTTTTTCTTCCTCATTCAGAGGAATCGGGCAAATTTCGGATATGCAGTTGGTTAGTACCTCGTCCACTAGATGGAATGACATTTTTTTATGTTCGATCCAACTTAAGACGAGGAATGAAATACTCTGAAAGAATTTCGATTTTCAATTATGGAATATCATTGACTTTAAGTCGATGATGGTCACTATCTTGCACTGACGAGTGGCTAAGGAGCCCGAAACCGGTCTGCAAGTGTGCCCGTTCCAAAATTAAAGGTCGACTATTTCAGTTGTATTGCCAATGGAGAATGTTCCTCAATTTGGGTTATTACAGCAAATGCAAGTTTGAACAAAATAAAGTTCACTTCGAAAAGTATTCAAATTGATGTTTCAAATGTTGGGTTTTAATTTTTAAAGGGATTTGTTAATTCACATATTGGCAACAGCGCCTATATCAAGTTGAAATAATTTATACATACCTATATATTCTACTTTAAAAAAGGAAAATTATCTTTATAAATCAACAATTAAGGCAAAATATAAATTATAGTTCAATACCACCTCCACAAGCCACATAAACAACAGTTGTTTTGTTATTTATTTATATAGAGAAAGATAGGTTAGGTGCACAAAATATCATATGTCGCAGATGTCTCGGAACTCGGAAAATAAGTAAACAGAACAGCACGCCTCTGAAATATGTCATCTTTGTTTGTCTCATACTGGTAAAAGATTCATTGTCCTTTATTAGCTATAACCAATGTTGCCAAATGGTGAAATAGAGTCCCTTTAAATGTTGAATGCATTATTTCATTCTTTTTTTTGGGTTTTTAAATAATTTTTTAAAGAAAAAGGTTGAAATGATAAGTTTAAAATGCGTTTTATGAAAACTACTTGATTCTCGTCAGGAGGAACATTCCCCATTGCTTATGCAGGAAATTTTCTGTGAAGATTCCTGCACTGACGCCTGTCGGATATAATCCAACGCCGTTCGTGGTATTAGCCAGTGGAGTAGTTGTTTTCTGATAGGCGTCAGTCCATTCAACCTACTGTGTAGGTATATCTATCCGAGACGGGCTTGAACATTCAAAATTCATTTATTTAGAAAAACACTTTTGTATAATTGTAATTGGACAAAAGTGTTTTCATTCATTTCATTAAAGTAATCATGAATTACCACAAAATATACAAGTCATCAATAACACATATTGAATGAAATTGCAGGATTAGCTAAATGACGCCATTTTTTATCCAATATGGCGGACCGCCCAAGTTAGCGCAGTTGTATTGCACTTCCATAATACGGATATCAAATGAAAAAGTTTGCTGAAATGAATTCGAAAAAAATTACAGAATGTCATTCTTAATCAAATACAATGGACTGTTCGAAATGACGGACTAGTATTTTGAAAGAGTTTGCTGAAGTGAATATGGAAAATGAAATGAGGATAATAATAAACGACTCTAAAGATGCCGTACTATGAATGGGTTTAAGGAGAATACATTCAAAATGATGCAATACCAAAAAAACCAGCATAGCAGTTTTGAAGAGATATAACTCTTTGGGTTTAAAATCTTTGTTCAAATAAATGTTGTAAGGATCAATATATTAAACAAAATGAACAGACTAAGAAACGTTTTCAGCAATAACAAGAAAATAAATTCGTAGTGGAAAATAATTTTCAAGTACAAGCTTTTATTAACCAGTACTAAAAACAAGAAAATTAGATCAAACTCATCAGTATATTACATTATATGCTATAAAAAGCTTATCGCGAGATTTTCATATTACACTTTTCAGTTTTCATATTATATAAATTGTGTAATGTAATAAATTGATGGGTTTGATTTGATTCACCGTTTTTTTAGAGCTTATAAATAAATGCTTGTATTTAAAAATGTTAGTATACTATTAATTTACTGGGCTCTAGTTTGAACTCATGTGACAAATTCAACATATACAATGAAGGAATGTTGGAAGTCATTATACTTTACTAATAAATCAGTTTTTGTCTCTTCTATAAATGGAATTACGTGGTTTTACTGTTACATAAGTCTACATTTGAACATTATCATTATAAAAGGATGTAAAAATGGAATGGCTCACCCTATTTTCATCCAGAAACTTCATTTTGATAGTAACTTCAGCTCTCAACTTCATGAATTGTTCTCGATGAACTTCATAGCCTTGCTGTGCATCTTCCAGTCCGATAGTTCCATCTGGTTTCGTAGAAAGTGACTCCAAATCTGTTCTATATGCATCATACTCAATTCTTGCTGCTTCATACTGCCTTATACTTTGCAGGGTGTCTTCAATAGTTTTATTACATAGTGTACTAACAGATGATATGAAAAAATTCAATGCACCCAATAATGTTTCGCCATTTTTCGTTAAATTTCTTTGTGTTTCTGAATTGTAAAGAAATTCTTCTTGCAGCTCTGGTGACTTTTGAGCAAGATCAGAAAATGCTTCACCTAATGCATGCTGGAGAACACAAGAAAAATAAAATAATCAAATTCGAATTTGTTTTGAATACAAAAAGTGTCTGAACTTTTTGTATTCAAAGTGGAGACAGAAAAGTGAAGAATATGAATAGTTTTGTATCAATATGTATATACTATATCATGCTGAAGTGTGAAATATGACAGACATTGAAGTTCATTTTATCTATCAGGAAATAGCTTACCTGAGTTTGAACAACTTGGTAGAAGTGGCTCGTTAAAATTCTCGTTAAGCGAAGAATACTCATATATTTTTTCTGAGTTTCTTTTAACTGATCTATTCTTGATTCAAGCTCTATAAAAGTAAAAAGAATATTTTATGTAATTATATGTTATCAATTACAGAAATAATTCTCACATATATCTTGATTTGGAAGAAACAAAAAATTTCATTTGCAAACGATGGAACTTTTCCATAGCACATATATGTTATTTAAAATTGAATATTATCTAAATTGAAAATTGTATACAGCTCCACCCCTATAAACAAATATTGTTTACATTGTAGACTTTGTAGCACAATTGTTAATTGTACATTTATAGGTCGACATGGCCCTATTCAAAGGCCTTGTAGGTCTCCCAATCTCAATTCTCTTGATATTTGTGGGGTGTTTTGGAGAACGGAAGAAATTGAATCTATATGCAGTGTATGCTGATGTGAAAACCTTGTAAATGGAAAAGTTGCAAGCCAACAATTGCAGTATACTGGAAAATCGTTCAAGTTGTTTGAAAATGGGAAAAATGTTTTGAAGAAAGGATTGACATCTTTGAGCACCAATTGAAAAGATGTTAACCATTCTTTTACACAATGATTCAAAAAATAAGAGTTGAAATTCATGTTCTATTCACGCCACATAGGTACTCAACTTTTTTCACTAACAAAAACCTTTATAATTGAAGAGTTTAAATACCAATTAGTCTATAACAAAATTGATGACATCCTATAGTTTGAAGATTGAAAACTTATTACAAGAATAAGGTTTATTCTTATGCATAACCTTAACTACTAACAAAGGATTTTAATTAAATGCCAAAGTAAACACAAGAAATTAGAAATTGATTGCCTTAGAGAGCCTCGTTTATTTTTGATATTCTAGAATTGGGTCTTCTGTCGATCCCATAGATGGCGTTTTCTTAAGGAGAGATGTCATCGCCTTTACTAAATGGTTTAGTGGTACAAAATGAAGCATATTATTCAACTCTTGAGTTTTGATACAAATATACGTTTTTTGCTATGCAATAGTGGCAATGCCAACAAGTATTTTTTTTATGACTTTTCTTAGGATTTGCATTATGTGTTTTCCAACACACAATGTCATTGAAAGATTTTTTCATTTGTTTCTCTTCTGGTAGGATTGTGTGCTGAAATTTGTATCTAACATGCTTTAATTTATCAACATGTTTCATTTATATATTTGTCATTGCTAGGTGTCATATAATCTGTTTAAAATGTTAATCACGTCTGATCAATACGACTGCTGCAATCTCAAAAGTTATAGCTGTGCTAGTTCCCAATGCGATGAGTATTAGCATGTTTATGAGCACATTGGCGATGGCACATGACAAATTAAAAGTTACATTCTTCAATTGTAATATCCTATTCTACAAAAAAATATATTGTGGAAAGAGCATTAGAAAAATGGGTATTTCACCCAAAATGTCAAAGAAGCTAATTAATTTAAATGATTTCATATCTCAATAATAAAATTATTATTGGAGTGAATTTGCATATTCATTATTTTTCATATCACTTACTGCACAAGATCCCTCTATCACAAAAAATTGTAATGAACATATGAATATTTTTATTTTTTGTGTTCTACCTTTTATGTGATTTCTGTTATATAGGTGGGCTGATTTCTCATAGTTGGTATTTAGAAAAAAAATCACATGGACTCGTCGATTTTCATTCTGTCTGAATTTTTTGAGCATCTTTCCAATCTTGTCAATTCCACTCCTTTGGTGCAATTAGAGGACAAATGATACCTCGTTTAAACAGTCATTGATTTCTCTTTTTAACATTACCTACTTTTTCAAACCAAATGGAATATCAAGCAGCAACGAGCAACTCAGTCAGTCGTCAGTCACTTGTTGCTGAGACTTCGATATACTACCTTCATCCTCACAGTCAACGCACATTCCACTGAATATGTCTGTGTGTGTGAATATCATTTCCGGATAAGTTATGAATGAAAACACATATATGATAAGCTGCAAGTGAGTAAATATCCTGAATATTGTTTGGTTTGTAGAGAAGACTAGTTGAACAAAAAAAATAGAGTTTCAATATCTTCCGGGTAGCTCTGATTTGAAGGTTCAGTAGGGACTTCAATTACTAGAGTCACCTACATCAGGTGACCTTGCCGACCACTACACTAATTCTCTTTGAGTGATTCATCTATCAGAAAAGATTCCACTGCAATACATTCAAAAAGCAGATGCTCAATCTTGTTAGAATGTCAGCTTGTACTCATTTGCCAATAGCCACCGTGTTCAAGAATGTTGATAAATTGAATGTTGATAATTTACTTTCTTCATCAAAAGATGGCAAAAACTGCATTTATTTTCTCATAACAAATATCGAACCCCAGGTCCTACATTGTAGGTCCAAAATGAGTGGGTCTATTCGACCCTCCACCGGAATCCGCAAGGGTTCTACATTGTAAAATAACAAATAAAGCAATTCATAATTGATAATAAACACTATATAAACTATTCAAAACCCAAATGGTGAAAAAATGTGTAATTCATTTTTGTCAGATTTTCTTTAGAATGTTTTTCATGATATCAACAGAATCAAATACAGATGAACTGAAAGTGTTGAAAAGAAAAATTAATGACTTTTCCAACGATTTATCACTTGACAATTAATCTCCCTTAAGATTTAAGGGTTGGGCCTCACCCCATTGGTTGGAAATATACTTTGAAGATTTCCCCCTCAAAATGAAAATCCTTATTACCAAGCAAATTTGTTTTGATAATTGCCAACTATGAGAAATCGGCCTTGTTTCATTTTCATTGGCCCATCCTGTATTTTTTTGGAATCAAGAAATTTTATTTTCTGAAACTTTTAATCATGATCCTTGATACTTCAGGAATATCAAAATACAGCTATTCGTCTAACCTGCATCAACTGTCCTAGATGATTTGCCCAGTTTTTCAAACATAATCTGCTTAGTACATTTGTATGTAGAAATGGACCAGTTTTTGATGTTTTCTATTCGAGAACTTTTGAGAAGAGAGGAATCATCAGTCTGTGGTGGCGTCAGAATGGCTGGTGAACCACACGTTGATAAACTTGTGGGGACTGAACGTGAATACGTTGTGGAATTACTCGAAGATGGTGGATTTTGTGTTTTATTATCATTTAATGGGGTGTCTTTCAACATGTCATGTATACTGGTTCTTTCGCCATTTACGGGTGTTGCAGCAATTTGCGACATATTGTGCAGAAATACGTTCTATAAATTCCTGTTTGTATCTAAAGATTTCAACTTGCACTACTATATTAATAAAATACAATAGTGAACAAGAAATCAACAAAAGATTTGCAATATAACCTCTACATAACTGACATTAGAAAAATAGTGACATGAAACAGCGTTCAGTCACAGCATAATTTCTAATTTTTGTGGATAAGACGAGTTCTTAAATTCACCGGTAAGTCGACCGATTGATCCTTGGTTTCATATATTCTCCTATTCAAAACGTTAGCACATTTCAACTGACTGAACAAAAGACAGAAAAAAAAGTTAAATCAAACTACACTTACATTTTTGTATAGATTTTTTATCTTTCTTTATTATATTCATTATCGGATACATCAGTTATTACTGTGGTAGATTGTAAGACCGAGACAATAGGCAATAGGCTTATGGAGAAAACTGCATCGACTGTTGTTCCATGTGTTTTGGTAGGCTCATTTCGGCTATTATTCATTTGTAGTTCTAATTTATCTTGTAGATAGTTTACCAAGAGTTGTCCATCTTCGGACGCGAAATCGACATTGAAATCTCCTGCTAAAATTAATGCCATTGTATGATAGTTTTCTCCTAATGCTTCAGAGCCTACTCGAGCATAAATGTGTGCTCGCACCTCTCTCTCTTACTTCCAAATTAATATACGAAACGTAACTCTCTCTCTCTCTTTCTATCTTCACTAACTTATAACTCCCTCTCAACTTCCGTTCGCCTCACTCGATCACACTTTTCGTAACGCTCTCGTTACGTATTCACCAGCTCACTCCCTAAATCGAGCGCGTAAAGAAATTTTGCTTCAAAAAGTTCCCTTGCCATGAATATAATTAAATAATTTTTATAAATAAAATTTTCAAACTTTTGACGTACATTGGAAATAGTTCGACACTCTTGGATTTTTATTTCCTTCAGTTTCTCTATTGAGTCACGTTGCGCCTCAAAAACAACAAATTTTAGGTGGCCCCAGAGGAAGAAACCAAGAGGAGATAGGTCTGGGGAGTCCGGGGATCCAGGAGCGTGCATAGGGCAACAGTGTTTTAACCCGTTTCTCACAAAGTATGTTAGGTGGCGTAACGACATTACTATAAGATGATGCAATCGTAGTCAAGATCGTCAGCTCTCCATCGTTATCCAGCCGATCTGTATGAACTTTCATAAAATAAACATTTTTCTTGGCGTCATCCCTTTGAGTTCTCCGAGATAATTTTTGAAGGGGTCAAACAAATTGTAACCATTAACTTTTTTTAATCTTGATATTGGTGGAATTGATGGTATGTCCTTTTATTTTAGTTTTTCCTGATATGCAATGTACTTTAGTGAGTAATTGTAGATTTTTTATCATATTTGTTTTATATAAGAACGAGGCAATAGCGTGTTTTTTATTTGGGGTTTTATCGAGTGTGCGCTATTGCCCCAATGATCAGCATGACAATAAACGTTAAATATTATATTTAACTTTTTTTCATTCAGATGGTTCGTAACTACAAAAAAAAAATTCTCCTGGCTTTATGGCCCACAGAACATTTGGCATAAGCCATAAATAACATCAAATCAATCACTATGTCAATCAGACAAGCTTCTTGGGAATATAAAATTCCACAAACAACTGCAAGAGACCATATTAATAATAGATATATATGCATTCTTCAGGAATATCCGTTATTCTAAAAAAAGGTGAAAGAAGGACAGTATTCAGTGAAGAAGAGAATTTATTAAAACAATACTGTTTCAAACTATCGGAGCTGTACTTTGGATTGTCAATTGATGACTTCAGATATATATTTGTTGAGAAGATAGGTAGAGTGAACAGATTTATCAAAAAAAGGGGGGAATAATTGGTTGGCTACGATTTCTATTATTACTTCAGGAAAAGATATCCAGATATATCGTTGAGGTCACCTGAAACAACCAGTTTAAATAGGGTAGTGAGTTTCACCAAACCTGAAGTGGATGAGTTTTTTGCAAACTTATCAGCTTTATAGGAAAAATATAAATATGGTAAATATGGTGCTGCAAATATATAAATTGGTAAAATAACCAGTGGAGAAAGAGGATCTCTAGTAACAACAATATGTTGCCTAGGCGCAGCTGGCAATTATGTTCCCCGATTCTTAGTTTTTCCACGAAACTCAATGAATGCCTGTTTGATGAAAAATGAACCACCTTGGTCGAGTAGCTTGTAGTGAAACTTCACCAAAAATGGCAACAATGATTTTAAATCAAAATGACGTTTTCAGTTTGCCAAAACCACAACCAACTGGTGACAAAAAAAGAAATTTTAGAAAAAAACACTCAGAAATTTCTACTCCTTTGAGGGAGGAATTAGTACTGAAAGAATCTAAAAAAAGAAAAGAAAGGAAAACGAAATTGCCAGTATCAAAAGGAGAATTTCTCTAAAAGATCAAAATGAAAAACAAGTTTTGAAAAATCAGAACAAAAAACAAGCAAAAACCAAACCAAAGAAACAAACAAACAAAAAAGGCAGTGATTCGGAAAATGAAGAAATTTTTTCTGATGACGAAGTTGTAGATAAGGATGACGTAGTTCAGCCTTCTGACTTTGATGCATTAACCAAAGTTCCAAAGAAGCACGAATACGTGTTAGTGGAGTTCAAAAAACGTGAAATCTATATTACATATTACGTTGGAAAAATCGTGACTGACAAAGACGAAAACAATGAATTTAAAATTCCGTTTTTCCGCAAAAGTATTAAACTGCATAATAAATTAATTTTACCGAATGTATGAGACATTGCCCTCATTTCACTAATTTATATTAAAATGAAATTACCAGAACCAGTTCTCCATGGGATGACTAAGCGACAGGAGTCCTGTTTAAATTTTGGGGTGTCATTCGGAACTTCGAAAGTCAATCATGTTCAACAAGTGATTTGATTTCTTTATCTGAGGTTTTTTTAGAATAAATATATTTATTTAGATGTTGGTAATATGACTATAATCATATAGTTATAGTTATTTCATTTCTTTGTAATACACATTTTGATTTTGATGTCTTATTATTTCCTTTTGTCATTGTGTCACGTTAGAGTTACTGAATCGAATAGTCATGGGTTCTCGTCACTACAGTAAAGACAGTATTGTTTATTCGCGTGCCTATTTAAATAAAAAGTTCACTCGTCACTGAAGCAAATATTTTTGATGAGCAGAGGTTCTGCGATAATTCCAGCTGTCATAAGTTCACAAAATTCAGTTCTTTTGTCGGGGTCATCGTCACCAAGTTCTTGAAGGAGTGGCATTTTATATGGATGAAATTTATGTAATTCAAGTACTTTCCTTACAAATTTGCGGGATAATCTGGTTGCTGTAGCTGCCTGACGAATTGATAAAGTTATTGTAACGAATTAAATAATTTACTGTCTTAAACAAATTTATTTCTAACAATAGTTCAGTATCGCAAACTAATTTATTTACAACACTTAGCCATTCTCTAAAGATTTATCTATATGTATAGACAATGAATGGGAGATTTCCAGTTGTTCTTAGACTTATTTGAAGGATTATTGACACTAGTCTATATGTATAGACAATGACTTAGCACTTAATTTATTTTCACTTATTGAATTCTTCATTTTCCGCTCGACTAGCTTTCTGAATTCATACTGCCATCTCTGGACGGAAAGCAGGGGTTATATATCGGTAACGATCGTTCTATATTTATCTAGTGATTTCTGTACTCGCCTAGTATTTTCCCGGCGAGTCAGACTGCTTCTTTCGCGGTGATGTCATGTGTTTGGTGGCTGAGATATCGGTCAGGGCCGGCTTCAGATTCGTTACAGTATGATTCATTGCAAACTGTCCGAGTACTTCAATTTTGCTACTAGTTGGCGAATGTATACAAGGCCGTAGCCAGGGGGGGTCAAGGGAAATTGATCCTCCCGAAAGTTCTACAAGCAACGGCCATCCAAAAATTAAATCAAATACAACGTTTGGCTTGTTTGAACATCACAAGAGCATGAGAATAATACCAACCGCGGCAGTGGAGTTAATTACTGGTCTGTCTCCTCTGAACCTGTACGTTAAGGAGGTTGCGTTAATGGCCATGTTACGATTGCAGACGGCTGGTGTAAACCTTGAAGTAGGAATGGGTCAATTGAGGCTGAGCCTATGGCGAGAAGCGCTTACTGCGCAACCTCTGCTGCAGGTAACCAGTGATGAAATTGTACCCAGGTTTGTCTTTAATAAACTCTACAAAATACAAATAAAACAAAACACAGAGTCAGATGCTACAAATGCAATACGCATATATACAGATGGCTCAAAAACCAAAGAAGGCTCAGGATATGGAGTGTACACCAGATCACTAAGCCTAAGGATTAAGTGGGAAATGGGAAAAATACCAGCGTGGTTCACAACTGAACTCCGTTTCACACGAGTCGGTAGCTCATGTAAAAAAATGTACAATAAAAACCTTCGTTTTTATACATGATCCGATATCTAACAATAAATGTGAATGCTTTTTGATTAAGCCTAATTTATAACTTTTATGGGGGAGACTCTCATATGGCTATTTGAAGATAGCGGTTGGGTTGGCGTTAGTGGTTTGTTCTACATGCAATCGACCTCTAGGTAAAACGGTGGTTCGAGCCCAGAGGCCGGAAGATTGATTTTCACTGTCTATCGTCTAACCTGTGCTAGGAATCTCACGTGGAAAGGTAAGACCTCGTTTATCCTCACCTCGCGCAAGTTTCGAATTTTGAGGGTTGTCGTCCGTAGGGGTGCAACAGCTGATTTCAAGTCAAAAAGTGTTCGTGACAATTAAGTCCAGAATTTTTTTCATTCAATTTTATTAGTCAGTATCACTTCGTAGGGAGTCGTTTGGTAAGAATTGCAAACATTTTTGTGATTCGACGTTTGATGACGTTGTATACGAAAGTATGATTGAAATAATTTCAAAATAAATCTAACGAAAAAATATGGCTCATCCTGTAGCGATGGCTTTGAAATAATCTCAATATTTGATAAATTAAAATAAAAAATTTCATGCCTCAGTATGTCTCAAAGTCTACGGCGGTGTAATGGCGCCAGCGCAAAAATATTAATTAGTCTTTCAATTGACAGATTTCAAGCAATTAAAGAGACAAATAAATAAAAATTATGAATTGACACTTTCAAATCTTTCAATTAACACTTTTGAATATGTCAATTGATGGATTGAAAATGGTCAATGAACGTTCCTCATCAGTTGATATTGTTCCAATATTTATTTATTTCAACGGGAGTACCAATTGACAGTTAAAAAGTGTTTACTGTCAGATTTTTACTTCGTTCGCCCACAGTAAAAATCATCGCATTATTCTTCTATGGTTCGCCTTTGTAAAAGTCTGATATTCCATGACTGTGACACAGTCACAGAACTATGCTGTGACACAGTCACATACACAGAATACTGATTGTAAACAAGCTGTGACACAGTATAGCTTAACGGAAGAAAAAGCCAAAAAAAAAGCTAGAGAGAGAAAGCTATACTGTGGTGATATTATTGACATTGTCACTTGTTGACATTATGACACATCATTTCAAACAATGTGAGTCATATATCACATTACATTTATTTCATTTTAGAGTTTAAGTACCTACAATTCCAGAACAATGGCTTCAAAATTGTTCAGAAATTACGGACTTAAACTGAACAAAACAGCCTTGAGACAGTTTAGCAATAGCAAAAATTCAGTTAGAAATGGCAAACTCTTTCCTGTCTACTGTGCTTTAGGAGGATCAGTAACTATAATGATTGCTGTTTATAAAAGTAGATACTTTCCCAATGTCTTTGCAGCCCAAACAAGAACTGTGAGTTTAGTTGAAAGGTGAAACTGGATCTACTTCCAGTGGAGAATGATTTTGATAAAATTATTTTATTCAAAGCGCCTTTTGTCATCCAAGTTATTAGGAGACTAGATTTATCATCTTCGGACGATACCAATGTGATTGCAATAATATGCTGAGAGTTTTTCACAACTTCCATGGGAAAAATATTTTTTTTAAATTATAAATTCAGTGTCAAGTAGTCTATAAAAAAATGTTTCAATTTTATCATTGAATTCAAACGTGAATATTTTTTTTTCAGGAAGAAGATGTTAAAGTAGTTAAACTTACATCAAGAGAAAAAAGATTCATTCGATTTGCATCCGTTGAATATGATGGTCAGCTATATATGACTCCCCAAGATTTTTTAGAATCTGTGGTAGAAGCAGAACCCAGACGTGAGTTTAATTTCAGTTTTCATTATTAAAAATGTATTCACTCAACAGTAAGTGTAGCAGATTATAAAATGGTATCGTTGTCATTAGATTGTACAAAAAGTAACAACATTTTATAATAAACTTGAATTATGAATACAAGTATGTAAAGGCAATAATATCTCCCCTTATGGAAACAACATCTTAATCCATGAATATCAAAGGTAAACATGGTTCTCAAAGGTTACAAAACCAAAACATAGACCGCCACACTGCATCTTTTACTGCAAGGCAACTTGCAGTAAAAGATGCAGTGCAAGGCAATCCATATAATGGATTCGTCATGACATATTCACATAATCAGATTTGTAGTATGAGTATTAGTTCCATACCTTTCACAAAACACTGCTAACTAATTTGCAACTTGCTGATAGTTATCATGACAGTAACCACTGGCTACAATGAAATCTTACACTTCAAACAAATTGACTTTGATCTAATGTTCTGTAATACCACAAGTCTGTACCTTATATTATTTCAAGATCACCAGCTTTATCATTCCTTGTATATTATTATAGAAAAATATAAAATTTTCATTATGAGCTTTACTAATTTTGATTAAGTAATTATTTCAATACTGTCGGTTATCTCCTTGATTTCAACTTGTCATCCCAAACAGTTGTCATCATGTTCCACATTTTATTGTATATTTTTGCTTTGAGGCAATTTATTTTCAAAAACAAACACTGCTTCCAAACACCAGAATTGCAACACTCTTATCGAGCTATGTTTCATCAACCAAATTGGTTCCTTCATGAGATGAAGTAGACTAATTCCCGATTCTGAATCTGGCCTGATTCAAAATTCATCATTCTTCCATATGAACCAAGATACATTATAAGATTGGATGGTATTTTTGAAATGTGGATCGTGAATGTCCAGAAGAGTGTTGCAGTTCTTCGCGGGAGGTTACCCTTCTACCTTACAATAGTGTATTTTAATCACTCAATACTAATTAAGATATATTTTGATTATTTTAGGCTGTTGTTGTATTTTGACTAGACTAAGTTATTTCATGCATATGTTTCTGTATACATGTCAAAAATGAGGATTAAATTATTCTAATATATTCTGAATTTTTAGAGTAAAAATTGTGTGTTTTATGTTTTCAATAATATTTCTATGTTAGTATTAAATTGAAAATCATGGTCACTCTACTAGATCAAAAAATTTATTGATAGCTTCTCCCATCGAATAAGGAAAGTAACCTGTATCTTGGACCTAAAATATTCAATGAATAGGACATTCTGATAAAAGACTTGTGCAATATACCAATTTTCAAGTTCGAAAGCTTCTATATCCAGAAGAATCAGTATGCCATTGAGGAATTTTTAACAAATACCTGAGGTGCCCACATTGCTATTTAATTTCAAGAATAGGGCGAGCTTTGTGATGTATTTCATTTTAACTACAAGTTCCTTTGTTGTTATACTATTTCTATTTTATTTTCTGTAAAATATATACTCAATCAAATACATTTAAATTATTCAGAAATATCTATCAAAATGTACATTTTTATGTTTGTACTTTTTTTTATGAATCTGCACTATTTTTTTCTCATTTCAAAGGAATTTTGTTCACTCAATATATGTGCCTAAACCTAATTCTGTTGTGTTCTTTCTTTTCACGAAGTGAGATAGGCAAATAAAGAACAAGATATAAAAAAAAAATCAAATTATTTTGTTCGCCTTGCAAACAAACCTTTTTCATATCTAAATACAGTTCAGTTTTCTCTGTCAATATCAAATAAACTTAAACACCTTGTTGTTTACTCAGTTTTCCACATTATGAACATTATTATCATGGGGTTTGTTATTTGCAGCTAGAATGAAGCGGAAAATATTGAGCCAGAAAGAGTTGGAGAAAATCAAAGATGCTACCCCGCCACTCAATCAAGGTTCACCAAGGTTGTTCAGAAGTTTGAGAGAAAAAGGTTTGGATATATAATTGGAAGTTTGGATGTATTTCATTTCGAATAATTTCAGGAATTATTTCTTATACAGAATATCTGTTTCTTCTTTCAATATTAACAAGTAAGTGTATCTGACCACTGTCATCATGAAATGTTGCCATTATATTGCTTTTGTAGAGCCTCAATCAGGGTTCAGAATCGCCTTCAACATGTTTGACACAGATGGTAACCAACGAGTAGACAAAAACGAGTTCTTAGTGGTATGTAAAGTGCACCTCTCTGTATTTTTTCTTCTATAAAAAATATCTCAATTATTAATTACTTGGACAGATAAGAAAACTATTGGCAGGCAAAAAAACTGAAAAAGAAGATATTGCCGTAAGTGAATGTTCTGACACTGGATCATTGCTTCCCATTTGATTTTCAACAGAAATTTGTCATGATATTGTGTCTTTATTATATGGTTTTCGGGTGTACTGATCGATTGTGTCAGTAATGCTAATATTGAATAGATAATCACTCCCACAATCCTACCAATCTCAAAATTAATTAGAACTAACATCCATTTGTGAATTTGTGTAATAATCCTAACACATATGAATTTTATATTACTGATCAAACGTTGTAACCACCATAGACATTGAATGTTATAGCTTATGTTTTTATGATAAACAGCTCAATTAACCCTAGCAAAATTAATATCTTAATTTATCACCTGAGGGTTTGATGAAAATTGTAGAAATGTAGGAAATTTATTTATTTCAATTAAAAAAAAGGTACTATAGGTTATCTTGACATATATATTCCTCTGATATGAGACTAGTGGAAGATTAAGCCAGCCAACTTTATGATTTTTCAATCGTCTATAATTGATCAAAAGAATGAATTGTACTCCTTCAATTATGTCGATCACAATACCCGAAAACCTTTATAACCAACGTTTTATTAACAAATTGTTTGGCTACTTTTTTTTTCATTAACACTTTTTCAAATAACCTATAAGGCTAAACATTTAATTATCATTAAGAATATTTTTCATCTGAAAGATATTTTTGATTTTTTTTAATACTCCACAGACGAATAAATGATTCTGAGATAGAGCTGGCATACAAAATAAATTACTATTTGCTAAAATATTCAGTTTCCAACTATTTAGAACCTGGTGTGTAATGGTTTTTTAGTTTTGGCCTTTGGATGAAGTGAAGTTTTTTGTTTAGATGGAAAAAATATTCAGCCATGCCTGGAAAGGAAAGAGAGGCATGAACAATGAAGAAACAGAACAGATGATTCCCATTCAAGAGCAATATGTAGATGATGAACAGGGACTTCAAAGGAGGCACATTGTTGATACCACTTTAATCGTTCACTTCTTTGGGCCAAAAGGAAACACTGATTTGAATTTTGAGAGCTTCAAAAAGTTTATGCTGCATTTACAAACAGAAGTGCTGGAACTGGAGTTTAATGAATTTTCCAAAGGGCTTATGACAATTTCTGAAGTTGACTTTGCAAAAATATTGCTAAGATACACGTATTTGGATACAGATGAGTATGACATGTATTTGGATAGATTGCTGGACAGGATAAAGGACACAAAGGGAATTACTTTTGAGGAGTTTCATGTATTTTGCCAGTTTTTGAATAACTTGGAAGATTTTACTATAGCCATGAGAATGTATACTCTTGCAGATCATCCAATATCTAAAGGTGAGTTATGCACAATTCTATATGTTGTCCATATAGCCCCTTTAGAAAAATGTGAGAGGGGGTAGACCTAGAAGGATTTCCATGGCTGCTCTTCACAAGTAGACAAAGAATACATACATTCGGAGGGTAATAATTTTCTTGACGACCTCCCAATCTTTCTTTTTTAGAATTTTGTTGCCCTCAATGAAAGAGGTGCATTGTTATCAAGAATCAAACTCCCAGGAAAATGGCTTTCTATCAAAAGCTATAACGTATCTTCTGTAGAGATCATGAAAACTCCATCAGGTTGTTTTATCAACCCAATTTTGACTCTATAAAAAATTTTATGAATTCTTGTACTGCGAGGTATATCAGAAGCTGATTTAAGCTCCAAGAAGAGATTTGATCATCTCGACGAATTTTTGCTGGGCAGTTCTTGTAATGGAAGAAGATCACTGCTTCGCAACAGAACGGTGAATTGTAGTGCATCTGCCCTCAAAGTATGATTGAAAGAAATTCTTTAAATCACTCCACTCAATCGCTTAGAGTCACGATATTTCACTATGGTCTGTTGTTTAGGTTTAGGTTCAGGATTATGATACATTTAATTTATGTAAATGGATTATCTTTTATTTTATTTTCAGGAAAAACTTCTTGAAATATGCAATTTTTACATTTTACATGTGAAAAATATCAATGCCAATTTCGATCTCATTTTCCTGTATAATTCTCATTTGGAAGTATCCTGTTGAAAGAGAGGGATTCAGGCTTCTGGCACAATCTACCAAGATGGTCCTATTACAAGGCATTCATACATCCTTGCTAGACCCACGTTGTCTGACTAATTAAACTATCTGAAATTGATTGAACTGACAAAAATAGGAAATATTTTTTAATACTTTTTTATACTAAAATTCCAAAATAGTTGGCATTTCATTCTCAGAAATGACTGACGTGTTTGCATTAATCTGCCTCTTGCAGTGGCGTACGGAAATTATACTAAACGGATGAAAAAGATGATAAAATGTATAGAATCACAAACTTGACAACAATGGTTTCGTTTAAATGCAATAATATTTCTGAGAACTTAGTGTCTACTATTATGGAATTGTACCAAAGGTTGCTTCTTGGTATGAAATAAAATAGTATTACTTACTTTTGTTTTGGAATATCCTTCATAAAAGAATCTTATTTTAAAATATTCCTGTTATCAGTCATTGAGAGTATACTACTCTCAAAATTTACGACGTTCACCTTCAGATCGCATCAGCAAACGTCATTCTCATCAGTAATGGTCACATTTATCGTTTGTAGCGTGATATACGATTGTATACTTTATATACTTCTGTATTTTTACAATATTAACAATAAAACACATAACACTGCTGGAATGTTTTTAGGAAAATCACTCATTATTATTGTTATTTTTTAGATGAATTTCACAGAGCTGTAAAAATATGTACTGGCACAAATTTGAGTCAGCATCTGGTCCATACTGTTTTCGCTATATTTGACGATGACGGTGATGGATTATTGAGTTATCGAGAATTTATTGCCATAATGAAAGATCGCTTGCACAGAGGATTCAAGGTGAGGATACATATAATTTCTTTGGTGGTGGTGGTGGAATATTCTGAATAACTCACAAAAAAAATATACGAGGTATGTGTGCCAGCGTATTTTCCAATCATCGAAGCAGTTCTGGTATGCACTTTTTGGTATATCCTTGAGCTCTCTCAGTGATTCGATTTTTATCTTCCAAATCGTCGCAAAACGCTGTCTATTCATAAGTCTCTTCAATCTTGGGAACAGGCAAATATCGCAGGGGGTGAAATTTGGTAAAATTGGTGGCTCAGGCATGATTACGGCGTTGTTTTTTTACAAAAAATTATAAACGCGCAATGACGAGTGAGCAGGTGCATTATCGTGATGCAAAAGCCATGAATTGTTTTTTCGCAATACCGGAAGTGTTTTTGTATTGTTTCTCGCAAGCGGCGCATAAATTCAACATAATACTCCTTACTGACTGTATGACCAGGTGGCAAGAATTCCTGATGCACTATGTCACGGTAATCGAAGAAAACAGTGAGCAAAACGTTGACCTTCGGTCTATTATGACGTGCTTTTTTGGTCTTGGCCTTCCATTGGTACGACTGAACTTTGGTTTCGATGTCATTACCATATACCCATGATTCGTCACCAGTTATGACCCTTGTAAGCAAATCTGGATCGCCGTTGACGTCATTCAACATTTCCTGAGCGAAGCTCATGCAACTTTTTTTTTGGTGAAAATTCAGCAATTTTGGGACTAACTTCGCTGCCACACGCTTCTCGCCCAAAGTTTACGAAAAAATTGAGCTAACCGATATGCCGACATCCTCAGCAATTTGTTTAATAGTGATTCGACGATTGTCCATAACATTTTTTTTTACTTTCTCAACATTTTCATCGGTTGTTAATGTGCTGGGGCATTCAGGGCGAGTCTCGTCATTCAAATCTTCTCGACCTTCTGTGAAAAGCTTGTACCTCTTGTAAACATTTTTCTGACTCAGAGTACAATCACTGTATGCCACTGTCAACATTTCAAGTGTTTTAGTGTTTTTTACACAAAATTTGATGCAAATTCTTCCACCCATTTTTTTAGATAGCAGAAAATGGCCGAACACGCAAAACATTTCTAACTTTTATGCCTCTCACCAACAAAATAAACATGCTAAACAGCTGTAACTGTTATCATATATTCGAGACGAGTGTACCAACATAAGAAAATAATCGCTAATCGCTGAGCAGAATTTTTTAAGATTGATAGTTGTGTTTGTGTTGAAATAATTTCATAAATTCTTGTTTTCAGTCCTATGCTAGAAACGAAGGATGGGAAGCATTTAAGACTTGTATCAAACAAGAAATGAAAACCCCCGCTTAGGCTTTTGAATCTTCATTTGAAATTGCCACTTGGTAAAGGATTTTTTGAGTCCTACCAAGTATCTTAGTATTTATGTTTGCAAATAACTTTAATCAGAACTTGCTGTCTTTGAAATTTGCAAATATTATCTGAAATCTAGAAAGAATTACTTTGATGAAGATTTTGATTTTTAATTATCCAGAATGAGGAAAAATACGGACTGAATTATTGCAGACTGTACTTAATTTCTTTTAAGAGAAAAAAAATTCAGCATCAAATTGAAAATCTCTTATTGAAAAGTTGAAAAATTTTAAGGTAAAATCTCAGTTTATTATTTGTCTCTCTATGTGATTTGATGATATATGAATTTGGTTGTGACATTATATATTTAAAATTGTATCATATATTAATTTAAAACTTATAATACCTGTTGAACCCTTTGGAATAGTTCAAATATCACCGTACAAAAATCTATTATTTCAATACTTATCTGATTGCTGTGATTCAACAGAAGGGTTCATAGTTACCATAATATTGCTGACACTTGAATAGTATTGTGTTATGAATTGGAACTAGTCAATGTTCAGAATGCCATAATTTATCATTAAGTTATATATGTATAGTATTCTAGTTTATGGATTGTTTATTACCTTGAACTAGTCATGTGTTTAGTAATTATTTTTGAGTTTTTTTCGGAGTAAGCTTCCAAGTCTTTATTGGTCAGTAAAAAAGTGCATAAAATTCGATATTATATCCTGGGAATAAACACCCGTAGCAATATTAGGTTTGTTTTGGTTTTGAGTTCGGATAGTTCAATCATGTGCAGTGATTGAAACTTGTTTTGGTTCATTTAGAACAGATCTGTTATTGTGCCCATAGTGTTTTGTTTTTTCAGAAGGGTAGTTATCAGTTCAGACATTAGAGTAGGTACTGATTAGAATCTCCAGTTCGCTGATGTGCATTATTGAAAATTTTCATTTATATTGTGTACAAATGTGCAAATTCTTTGGGTACATAACCTCAGTCCTGATCCTTTGATTTGACATTAATAAAGGTTGATTTGGCCATATACTATTGTTTTATTTTATCAACTTACTCAACGATTTGTCATTTATTTTGTAATGCAAGGAATTTACTATAGTATATTCCAATATTAGAGAAAATATCAAAAATCCTCTATTATTCTCATAATGTTTGTTACATCTAGTGATATACATTTATTTACATACATACTTGAATTAACGTACTTATGCATTTTTATCCCAACTAGTTATTTTTTATAAAATCATCTTCACATTCATTTTCCTGGAAAGAAACGATAATCTATATCTATGTATTGCTTGATGATAACCATAAAGGATTCAATATCCCCTGGAGCAGGAGACATGACCGGTGTTTCTTCACTACCGTAGGAGTGCTGAAGATAGTAATATAAAATTTATTATTGTTATTATTTTTATCATCAACAGAGCGGTTGAGTTGTATCATTATTATAAACACTCTTGAGGAGACTAAAATTTTGAATTTGATGAAAAATTTTAACACACTAATTTTTTTCAATTTCTATGGACTTTTTATAATACATTTTGGGATCTGACCTTCAATAAAAATCATTTGTTCTCATTTTACATTTATTTAGATCTTTTTACAATTGCCAAACACTGTCTCATAATTATAATCCAATTTGTTCCTAAGAGATAATAAATTAAATGTGCCTTATTTTATAAATAAATTTGATTATATCTACAGGCGTCATCTTACACACATTGAAGTATAAAAATGCAATTAATATTTGAAACTTATCATCGAGACAATGAAGTTGTATTTGAGCTTCAATATGAATTTCATAATACAGTCTCGACATTGGAGTATAACATACGGATTCCAAGGTGACAATATTACTTTAGCACAATATACAAAACTTGCATGGGATAATGTATTGTGCTTGTAACAAATGTATATATCGCATGCAGATTCCAAAACAGATACTTCTATTTTCATTTGACAGCAAATCAAACACCTTGTATCTGTTGGCATAAATTTCAAAATAGTTTCTATAGACGTAAATATTTTATACTATTTACAGCTAACATTTACAAAGAGAGATGTTGATTAGGTATCGAGACCAAGGATTTGACACCTAATGAACATCTATTCACGAAATTCAGTAACTACAAATTTATTTTCAACTTCCGATACATAATCAAAAATAAAACATTAGAAATAGGTTTCTCCAGTTACTTTTCGAGGGTCCTGAATGGGTTAGTTTTGTGTTTTGAACATACATGTTATCGTTAAAAAAATTTCATAGTGTATTCAAGTGATATTTTATTGAAATATTTTCAAAAAAAAGTTCACAAATCCACTCAAGTGTTTCACTACAGTACACTAAGCATGATTAATATTGACAGTATTGAAACACCTGAAGAAGCTGTTGTATAGCGAAACACGTGTTGCGGTTTTGTTAACGTTTTAGTGAAAATCTCACGAAGTGTTACTTGAATACATTGTAGAGGATTTTCAGCAAGAATGATGTTTTTCAAGAAATGAACAATAAAACATAAACCATCTGAATTTAAATGAATAATAATTGAGGAGTGAATAATAGAGGAATATTTTATTTGTTTTATTTTATTTGTAAAATTTTTGAGAATATGAATGATCGCAGGTCAGCTTTTGTTGCATTTGAAAATAATCAGTAAGTTACCAAAAAAAAGGTAAGAGTTAAAATGTGATTGTTTGTTATGTAGGTAGTTGACTTTTTGTGAGTGAAAGGCTTTTCATGCGTTGGAAAGCTGTACGATGCTACCTCTGCTGATAATTGTTAGTAATATCATGTTTTGAGGAGCATTGTATTAGAGTATTTCAACAAAGATAGTAGCGTACACCACATGTTGTGCCATTACTACTCTATCACTGGACTTTTTTGGGGGAAATCAAAGAACTGATTAACAGAGCTGAACAAAAATGAGGGATTTCAGTCAAAACCTATTTTTAATGTTTATTAAACTAACGCTAGATGGCAGTGGTATTGGGACTACGCCAAAATTAGAAGTTTGCGACCATTCAGATGATAGAGAGCATGTATTGAAAAAAAATAGCGTCAGTTTTCACATATTGCAAAACTTCTTAAATATGATATCACTTTTGATGAGGTGGAATATTTGAAAGTTTCTCTATACAATAGGAATTGATAAATTTTCACTCCAATTTTTAAATTTTGCTACAGCATTAATCTTCAATTGCATTGTCAACTCGACTGCTACGAATTCCGGAATTACCAGTCCACGGGTAAATATCTGGACAGGGCTGACAAGTTCTCATGTACCTTACGCCAGATTTGTGCCACAAATTGCACACTTTGGGATTGTTACACCTCTTTGGTCGATCCTGAAATGAAGGCATGCTGTTAGAGACAAATTTTCAACAGGTGCTGTTTAACATGAACTAGTATTGACACTTTTTCAACATTTTGTAGGTAATGAATTAGGAGCAGTGTATTAGATGAAACCAGAGCTCAAAAGTGTTCAAATTATAATATAATTTCAAACAGCATGGTTTTGATTTGCCTTAGATTACGTTGGTATTTATCATTAAGAATACCTCAGATTGAATTGAAAGTGGTATATTTTTAGGAGATGGAGAAGTAGAAAGCCAAAATCTTTCTTGCCTTAGATTAATTGCCCATAGACAGTTTCGCCTCAAATTTTTAGAAGATACACATTAAACGTTATAAATGGCTTTTCATGCATGTCATATCATACATTATAGAGAGGTTTTCATGCATGTATACTAATGTGAAATTTTAGAACTAGTTTTATCGTATCCTTGTGATGATTCATCCACCGGAGAAGTAAATCAAATATTCTTCATATGTGAGGACAATCTTCAATACAGGTCGGAATTTATAGCATAACTAATTTCATGTAATATTACAATTTCATTCTTATATTTTCTAATGACACGAAAGTTTATGACAGAACTATTGAATTTTAAAAAAACTTCAATGTGAAGGTATGAATTTCTCCATAATTACAAAAATATGTGGCAACGGATTTCTTCGCTGCTTGTGAGCCGTTCAAAACTTCCCTCCTGATGTCTGGATAACACTGTAGCTTTATGGGCTTATTGCGATTTTCACCATTTTTTCCGTGTAATCCTATTTCCTGTACTAGTTTGTACAGGTCTCTTGTCGGGGGCTTGTCATAATCTTTGGGACATAGATTGTCCATAGATTGCTTACCTTCTGTAATTTAGTATCTCACATTAGCATAAAACATGTCGAGCTGTATCTGTTCCTTTGATGCACTTCTTGCAGCTAGGTCACCATTATACATCCCTATTTTGTTTAGGTATCCTCCCGGTGCACAGTGTCCAGTGAGTAGTAGCCATATAATTATTGTGTGCCGGTCTCTGCACTGTTGAAGTAGTCTTCCGTTCTCTTCTCAGATGATTCCAATGTGAACTCTTTTGTCTGTCTAAATTCTCTGGTATGTAATCCCACTACTATTCATGTTTCTCCTTGACTCGTTTTCTGATCGAGTTCTGTACCAAAGATTTTGGTATCGCCACAACTGGTTTAGTTGACTCATGAACTTTATCATTGCCTGTGACTCCTGAGTGTCCTGACACCCAATATAAAGTCAGTCTATTCCCGCCCAGAAGTTTCTTCAGTTCTTCACGGCACTCCCAGACCACCAGTCTCGATGTCAGCTTTGATTTATCAGTGCCTCAAGTGCAGCTTGGGTGTATGTGAAAATACTGCTCAGTTCATGTCCCTTGTGTATTGCAAGATTGCATACCCTCCAGCCAGGTAGATCGACGTGTATTGACACATTAAATTTCAGCTTTCATCCCATGTTCAGTTTATGAAGATATTGATCTCTCTAAAAGTACAAAAATCTGGCAAAAGGATTTGCTTTAATGCCAGTCTTATCTGAAGGACAATAAGCTTCATCTTACGAGATTATTTAATTAGTAAAATACGAATTCAAACTCACCCTGTAATCACATTGGAATGGTTGGAAGGAGCCCAATCGAGAGATGGGTGTGGGATCTCTTACCCACTGCAGAGCTTGCCAATTTGTGACCAGCCACACATCATCATATTTCAATATACTGTCGATGAAATTAATGAAACCCTCTTTGTGGTGTGGTTGAGTGAACCAAGCAGCGTGATAGAATAAACCAAATGGTGCCCTGAAACAACATGGATTCATTACTACAAGTGTTTCACCTAAAAGTGTTTACACAAAATATTTATACTACACACAAACAGGTAACACTCATACAAATCTGTCTAAGTTGGGGTTTGTTGGCCATTGTCTGCATGTTTTTATGTCTCACGTTTCGTTTTCAACTGCGACAGACATTATCAAAGGAAGTGAAGCAACAGACGCAGTGCTACAGTTATCCTCGCAGTATAGTCGAAGTAAACGGTATTGTGCACACTTAAAGTTGGCGGTACTCTCAAAGGCCAAAAAAAAACAATACATTGATATTAACCGGCAGCGAGCTAGTCCACGAGGACTGTAGACTTGGCGGTTCATATTGGATAATTTTTACTAACCGAGTTTTATGATTGGCTGAAGAGTCATAAAATTAAATTTGAAGTCATGAAATCGGGAATGCGGGGATGGTTATCGCCGTCGTGTTCAGTTCAGGAACTGAACGCGATTTGAGCGTTGAAAATTCGATATTGGTGCAGTTATAATTAATACTTAAAAATTTTCTCTGTTTAAAATGTGGCTTCCTTGGACACGTACTGATGGTAACAACGAAGACTTTTTCCAGTGTAATGATTCCAATAGCGATGGTGAACAATGCGAAAAAGAGATAACAGTGAATAAGATTCGGATGCATTTGAATATTGAAACACAGAGAGTATGTATCAATGAATGAGAGATTTAATCGAGTGTGTATGATACAAATCAAAAATATAACCGGTATATATAACAAAAATATAATCTCTCTCTCTCTATATATATACACCAGCTGTCGAAAGCGTTCGCATATAATTAAATAGGAGTTATAAATCTAGTGACGTTAATATAGGATAAAGAAAGTTTTATATGTTACAGCCGATTTTAGTCAATTAGAATGATCAAGTTTACTTGAGAATGGTTTAACGAACTGAAACCGGTCGTAACAAATGAAAAACTTAGTAGAAATCAGATAAAAGTTATTTTCTTTATAAAAAATAAATAGGTCATCAATCGAACGAACTAGTGGCGTTTTTCGTGTGGTGCTTGCAATCTTCCTATCAATAATATTTTGCTGAAAAAAATTGTTTTCAAGTTGGTTTTGATATTTTCTTCTGGTTAGCAGGATGTCTCATTACTAGTGTCCTCAGCTACAATTAAACACAAGTCCAAAAAATAGTAGGTACTTATACCTATCCAAGTTTTCATTAATATCAATCTTTGTAATTTATTCATCGCAAATTAGTGCATTAAGACACAATTGCAAACAGGTCAATGAACTACTGTGTAATCCAGGAGAATAGAATGCTTGTTATTGGTAAATCGATTATATTATATTATTAAACTAACTTTTCGGTAGGAGATTCTGTAATTTTCCGAGGATCATCTTCTGCTTGTTTCATAATCTTTTTCATAATCACTTTCAAAAGCGGTGATAGTTTTTCGTAATATGCTCACTGTCAACAGTATATGTCGACCGCACACTGAACACTGAGTTATGTCCGAGATACGGCTAGCGCTGTGTGTTAGAGTGAGGGGAAAGGGAAGCCAGACATACTGGCGCTGTTATGCGTTACGTTATCAAGCGGTTTACCCTCCCATAAGAAGTTATCACTTCAAAAAGACTATGTTACTAACAACATTCAGACCAGGAATATCTGAATACTGGAATATACTGGAACAAATCTTGCAGAAATCATGGTAATGTAACAGAGGAGTCCACGAAGTATTTATTGACTCCAAAAGTGCCTGCGACACTATAAAGAGAAACAGAATGATGAACGCATTGAAGAATCTCCAAATACAAAAAAAACTGAGATAACTGAAAAAAATTATACTGGGCGAAACAAAAACAAGAGCCATACTTCAAGAAGAAACCAAGTACTAGAACAGTTATCTACTGAGGAAAAGAAATTTGACCACAAGATACTTATTCCTACATAACATCTAAATAATTATATTCTCAGACTTCTTTAATCAGTCTATTAGAATTGCAAATACTTTTGCTGAATTGGTGTAGATAATTTTAGACTGGTACGAGTGTATGTAATCATACATACCTGTTTGTTGAATAATGCCTCTGGAAGTTTTTCGTCAACATCTTGAAGACACCCTCAGCATCTGGGGGATTACTGCATGCATCACCCATAGAGCATCTTCCTCCATTAAGATCTTGCCACATGACCATTGGAACTTCCCACACGCCGGGATACGACTTCGTAGGACAAGGTGGGATCATACAATCGTGGAATAGCTTGTAATCGAGAGTATAAGGCCAGCTTGGAGGTTTGTTTTCGTAGATTGGCATAGATGAATCATAGGTGAAGTTGGAATCGTATAACATCTTGAACATTTTGTTACCTCCAACCTGAAACATGGTTTATTATCAATGAAGAGTTCCTTATTTATGAAGCGAATACACTATGCAATAAATACTTGGAAAATACCATAATATGTTAAATTGAAAGTAAAACGAAGACGCCATCTATGGGATCGATACAAGACTCAATCCACGAATATCGAATATATACGAAGCTCTCCAAGGTGGTCCAGACGTTTCCGACATTTTTTGTATAAAGATGGAGAGGTAGATAGCCAAAAAGCTTTTTTTCCAAAAACGTATCTCTTGTATGAAATATCGCCTTTTCAATCTTCATCATATTGTTGATTATCTGGTTTCAATTCTGAAATTGATTGAGTACTTCTTTCATTGCACAAACGTGTAATGGTGGAAGATTTAGTGAAGCACCCAGATATTGCTACTTTGATTTTTCATTCCCATTTCGGCTGCTGGTTAGATTAGGTCCAACGGAAGTGAGTCTATTTGACCCTGCACTACAACTCGCAAGATTTTATTGTGGCTCACACCAATTGAAACTCACCAAATGAGTGCAGCTTCTGAATGAAAGCCATTAGTTCATTTGATGAGTGGTCTTTCGGATTAGATGGCGAGGATGAAACTCTGCCAAACACTGAAAACCTGATTCAGTCCGCTTACCAATTACGTGCTCTGCTGCTTCATTTTCCCAACATTGGCAGATGATTGTTCCATTGTTGACGCCAGATTAATTGTGTCTTGACGAAATACTTTAAGGTTCATACAAGTTGCGCTGTGGCTTTAGAGAAAAGTCGATTTTCTCGATGACGTACAGATATTTCACCTGATTTGCAGAAGGCAAGTGGTACTATTCAACATTTAACAGCATGTTCATAGTCAATATGTAACTATTTTTGAACAAAAAGTAAAACTTAGGTTCGTATTGAAGTCGCGCATATTTCAACCTCAACTGCTCAAATTATCAAAGGAGAACATGAGAATATATCACCCGTTCTCAATTGAGTTATTGTACTTACGGATAAAAATGGCGCCCTCATTCCTCTCACGTCTTCTAAATGTACTCCGCCGTATGCAGAAAGTATTTCTCGCTGTCCTGCTACTTCCCTGGTCCATTTTTTCTGAGAAAATTGTTCACCGAAGCTGTGCCTGCATTGATTTTTTGGTAAGTAAACTTATCATACTTAGGATAGTAATGGTTAGTAACAAGCGTTTGGAAATTGATGTTAAATCACCTTCTTGAAGCAGCTACACTAAACAAGTTTGGGGTGCAATTGATGATACTGTACGGTGCAGATTTTTGTTTCTTTTAAAAACTTACGATACTGTGTGAGAAGCTAGTTCATGACCATCAGAATATAAATTCTGTACTTGACTGTAATCAGTCCATTCGTGGGACACATAGAAGGTAGCAGCAATTGGACATCCGTTGGGATTGGTTCTGCCTTTTTCAAATAAATCCTGGTATAAAACTTTGTTTAGGTCGTTAACGGAATCGTCGAAGGTGATCAGTACCATTTGGGGTACCTGCTTGACGGGAAGGTCACCTATTGGTTAGTAGCATAGAAAGAAGTAAGTTAGATACCATTTCGGCAAGGATATTGAAGCAAGTTGAATAGTTCAGAGAAAGTAGTTCAGAGTTCAGGTCCAGCCCCTGGTCAAATAGAGACCACTTACGACACTGTGTGGGACGCCATCTCGTGACCATCTGCGTAAAGATTTTGAACCTGGCTATAATCTGTCCATTCGTGTGAAACATAAAATGATGCTGTTATTGGACAACCATTAGGATTCTTGCGTCCTTGTTCAAACAAATCTACGTAATACTCTTTATTTAAATCATTGACTGCGTCGTCAAAAGTAATCAGGACCATTTGAGGCGTTTCTTCTGGAGGTATATCGCCTAATAATTAATAAGAATAATACTGAAAATAGCTCATTTCTTTCCCAACCCCAATACAAAAACAGTTACATAATGAACATTTCTGATATGACTAATGGACATTTCTGATATGACTTGCTAGTTTTGACTAAAACTAATTACTATATTTGATACGTAGAATTGGAACCTCTGGCGTATAATGAAGCTATTAAAGCACTTTTCTCACACGAGAACAAAAATACTGTCTTTTGACCCGCATTTCGCTAACCAAGTTAGCGTCATCATTGTGTTATATTGTTATTATTCTCAATATTAATTACTGTCTGCCATGATACCGATTCAAGATATTGTTGTGAATCATGCCCTAAAGAAAATACGCCGGCCCCCAAACGTGACGTAGCTAATGCGCGAATGCACAATGTTCCCTGCCGCTCTAGAAGCAGCGAGAATAATGATAGCGATTTCCACGGAATTTCGGCGCAATTTTCTAGCGCATTCGATTACAATATATAAAGGCAAGCCACGATGATATCGACACAGTCAAGTGAACGTTACAGTGCGGTACGCGAAGTGATCTAGTAAAGCGATATACATTCAAATAATAGTTGAAGTTTTAGTTGAAGTGTTTGTTGTATTTGAAGTGAAATAAAGTTGAGTTTAATTATTCAGTGTAGTCAGTTATTGGTCAACCCAAGGGAAAAAACGTAACAATATTCAACAACGGGCAGTTTGGAACGGGCTATTTGTCGCTGTTTGTGCATCTCATTCCACATATTTCCATATATTTCTTTCAAAGGTATCTGAAAATCTGTTGTGATAGCCATTTTAAGCGACACTAGTGTTATATTAGAACCACATAACACTAGACTTGTTTATAAACGCCATAGCGAGCAGATGTGTATGAAAACAATCGTAATAGGTATTTAGACAGTATTTTTGTTGGGGTGGAAAAGTTATTTCAATAGATAATTACAATAGTTCCGAAAAAATTCACAAAATGAAGGTTGACCAAAATATGGATTTTCAGGATATCTATTGGGGTGGTTGTTTTTTAGCTTGTATTCTAGTTGTTCATACAACGAAAGGGAATTTTATCAAACCTACTGTGAGTTTTGGACACACATGTAATAAAAATCATAACAATATATACTTGTGATGGGCTACCATAAAAGCCCCATTTAGGTACTATCTAAATATTTTTCATACGAAAAAGCGAAAGAAAACAAATCAGAAAGTGGGGTATATTGTGATAGATTCCAAAACCCTGAGGAAACCTGCATATACAGTGAGTATCATTTGAATTCCAACCACCCCTGTTTTGTTGTTCGAGGTCGCGTTCAAAAATTGTAGGGCCACTGATAGGCCCTACAACTCACATAACATAACTCACTGGGATAAAAAATCAAACGTATTCAAAAACACTTCATTGTGAGATTTTCACTAAGCAATTTTACAAAAACGTAACACGTGTTTCGCCATACAAAACTACTTCTATGCTTTTTGTAAATACAAAAACCAATTCCACATTTGCAAACCACCTTTTAGCAGAAGGACATGAGTTTAATCATAAATACGACGTATTACATTTAGAAGAGAAAAGTTTGAAACTCAATCTTCTAGAATGTTTGAAAGTCAATAGAATCAAGAATTTGGGTAATTTACTGAATGATCAGTTACTAAATATTTTTCCAAATGTGGAAACTAAGACATAAGCTCAGATAATTCAAGTCATTACAAACTTAGGTAGAAAACAGGTACTTGAAATCTAGGTACTTCAAATTAGGTATATTAAGCGTTGAATATGTAGAATTTAGTTAGTAAAGACACGCCCGAAGAAGCCATTGTATGGCGAAACACATGTTGCGTTTTTGTAAAATTGTTCAGTGAAAATCTCACAATGAAGTGTTTTTTGAATACGTTAGTTATGGATTTTCATCAAGTATCAGCCAATTCCATCATATATTTCATGCATGTATATACAAAATCAACTCTATTTTGGAAAAAACATATCAGACATTTTTTGTAAACGAATCATTTGGGAAGATCTTCCCAAGAACTCTTGTCTGATTGAGTTCCTCAGGAAGACTCAAGATTTTTTCAGTACCTACAATTATTTATTAGAAAAACAAAATTTACTAAACGTTTTCGATGAGTCGAAATGATCTAGTTTCCCAAAATTGGTGATAATTTTTCTATTACCTACCCCAAAAATGTTTGCCTGTAAACAATATTTCTTGAAAGCAAAGAGACATTTAGATATGTTGAAAAATATGAACGCAAACTTATAAGTCAGCATATGTAATTGGATTTCTAATTTTTTGCTACCTTCAGAATATTACGTATCACATTTCATTGGTGCAATTCATACACTTAAATGAGTTGCACAATATGAGATCTTTTTTCGTTCACTATTAGAAGGATTTTTGCATTGAGGTTCACTTCTAGAAGTTGTTCGATTTTTCGTTCTGTTTTGCGTGATTCATTTCAGATTCAGTAGGCTTTTGTCCATAGGCATACGCAAGAAGTAGTGAAAAAGAAGTCCATTCCTAATTACATTCAACAGTTATTATGCTGAATAGAAAGTCAAAAATATGTTATTTCTGGTGGGAAACACTTCGTTCAAATCAACTATAGTTTTATCTACTAACGATGTGCGGGGTCTTCTCTGAAGACTTATATTCAGAAGACAGAAAACCGCCAAAGCATTGTCTTAACAGTGGGGAATCTATCCCAAGAAGAGAGGTGGTGTCTTAGCTACAATTACACACACACACATAGTGTTGTTTAATAATATATGTATTTTTCATCACAGTTGATACTGAAAAAAGTACGGACATTTTAACAACTAACATTCCCCCAAATTTTTAAGAAATAATTACATTTAAAGGAAAAAGGAAACTTACCAGGAATATCTTTTCCACCGCAGCTGCAGTCAGGCAATAAACAAACGTCTTTCCTACATTTTGCTGCCGTTTTGTCAGCCTGGGGTTGTGGATATATGGGTTCTGGGCGAGATGGAGGATATTTGTAGATATCGACATACTCTTGTACCTTGGAAATGATCGAGGTTGATGGCTTGAGTGTTGGTCGCGAGCGCCTAAATAGTGAAAGTCCATCTATATAATTTCAGTCGTTGGCAGAAGAAATACAAAAAATCCAACTAGTTTTATGGCATTATTGGGGCAGCCAATGAAAACTTTAAAAATTTACTGGTTCATGAATCTCGTGAATGGAGCGTGGTATAGCTATTTATATTACTATTACCCTAGAAGTTAACCGCAGTTTTTATTGTCAGTGATCCACAGCATACTATGATAATTTCAATCTCAAATCAAAAAACGAATCTAAAATTTCCGAATTTTCCGTATTTACTGTCAGTGAGCCACAACATACTATAATTCTTTTATTCTCAACTTTAAAAATCCTGAAGTTGAAATTTTCATTTAAAAAACTAACATCGAGGCAACATTCATGTTTGACTTCTACCAGAATACGGAATATACAAGATGTTTCATAAATTGAATATAATAATAGATTCACAAGTTTCATAATTTAAAACATACTTGAAATGAGGGAAAGGAAAGAGTACTTTCCTCCTAAGGGAGAAAAGTACTTTTTCTCCCTAGGTGGGAGGTATGAGTTTCCTCGCTGATGTATGAGGGAGGAAAATGTACACTTTCTATACGGGTAGGAGGTAACAATATTTTTTCTAGTTTTGTTTGACCCTTCTCTCGAAAAGGGTGAGTAACGAACAACTCTGTGCAATTTCCTGAACTCTCATTATTTCAATAACTTGCTTGCTATAAATAAACTTGATTAACGTTCGAATCATCCAGTGAAAGAGATAGTTTGCCTGAATGAAATAATAAAATTACTTACGGAGCTGGTGTTCCACGGTTGCTGGTGACTGTAACTTCATTATTGATAATTTGGTCACCAGCCCCAGAGTAGTGAGCTGAACCACGTCCCCTTTGAGCAGATCTAGAAACAGAGTTATTGGAATCCTCAAACACAGCCGTTTCATTTCTAATTATCTAAGAGCACAATGATACTCCCCAATAAGCATGCATAAAACACCGCATTTATCTCATAGGAGTGATCCAAACCTAAACTTTACTCGTTTGATCAAGGCTTATGGTTTTTATATCCATTTCAACACCTTTTCAACTGTGGAGGATACTCGCATATTTTTCGCGGAAGGAAACATATTGATATAGGAATGCAGGCTTTCACGGCTGGCGTCAAAGGAAATTACACAAGCAGTACAGGAAAATCCTTATGGCGCTATCAGAGCGGTTCCTGTGCGAAAGTAACGATTCACAATGGATTTGAATCGCTGGAGGTTAAATCCATTTGGAAAAACGTTCTCAGGAAGTTTATTCCATGTAAACGCAGTTCTCCAAATGAAAGAGTTTTTGCCGTGGTCTTCTTTGGTTATAATGTCAAATATGGAAAATAATCATGAAATAATTCAAATTCATTTAAGCGAATACATGAATTGAAAGATGTTCCAACTTCAATATTCTAAAACAAAAACACACAGAATTCCATCTTTTCCAAGTTCATAGACATCAAAATTGAAACGATCACAGGAAATAGAAATATAAAACAATCTCCAAATACGCAAACATTGCACAGATTGCATACTGAGCATTTTACCTTAGAATAGTGACCGGATCAAAGTTGTAATGTCAGCGTATAAATCTTCATAAATATTGTGGGAGGTCAAGATCATGAACAGACAGTATTCAGAAATTCATTTCAGTATCTATTGATCATCAGCAATGCAGCACATCTCCTTCTCTTTATACCTGCTGGGTGGCAGTATAGTGTAAGTTTTTGGTGATTTATTGTATTTTTGATTAACATTTTAGTGTAAGTTTAGTCCTGAAGTATTTTCCCCGTTTCGTTACAAAAAATATTTAATTCAATTTTTAAATGAGTTCTTTCATTATTTGGATGAATGGGTGAAACAGCGAAAAAATTCCTTTCGTTAATAAGCCAAGCGAGTACTGAGCTGCGACAATAATCTCCAAACGTTTCAACTGCAACTGCGACAGTCATCTTCAGTGGCGTGGTCGAAGTACTCTTCTTGACGTGTCAACTGTTAGTTTCTAAGGTAAGGAGGATGAAATGGAGCGAATTTCAGAAAACGAAACTTGTTTTTCAAGATTTTCGTTGAAACTAGACCTTGTATTGGAAAAAGTTGACAACAAAAGCTATAAGGAAAATGAAGATCTACATCTTTTTTACTGTAAATATCATTGTGCCGGAACCATTTTTGAAAAAATATAAAAGTGACAGTATCATGGATACATTTGTTACAAAATGCGAATAACCGAAAAAACTGTATTTTGTGTCTTTTACATTTCCTGACAATTTCTTCCGTGGTGAAGTTACTTTTTGTGCAACATCTGAAAGATATTTCGTTAAAAAAGGCCACTGCACTAATCGGCTTCCCAAACAAGGTGAACCAATTCATTAAAAACTTGTATTCATTCGTAAATAAATATCATTTATACACATTTCCCATATTCCGAATAGTGAATAAATAGACTTTTATGAGTTGAACCTCATAGGTCTTAACTCACAAAGTAAATATAGAACAAGTTTGCCTATTTTAGACAAACTAAGAAATAAATGCGGTTAAAGTTAATTTTTTAAGTGTGAATCATACTCCTGAGTAAATGCGAAATCTAGTAGGTATTAGTCTTTTTTTTTCAAACAACTGAGTTGTGTATGAAGTGTGAGTGGGTTTTAAGAATGTGTTCGGCATATTAGGTGCAGTGAGTGGAAACTGTTAGTACTATTCCTAATAGGGTTTTTAAGTTTCAACAAGCCATATGAAAGTGAGGAGAAATTTGAATAAGTGGCATGTAAGGTGTATTGGATTCGTGCATTTTGTGTATCAGTGTCTTCGTTTACTCTCTTCTTTTCCATAGAATTCAAATCCATATAAATAGACTCCTTCTGGCTGATTCCATGTTGTTACAATCAAAGGAAAGATATAAAATGATCTCCCCGAAAACTCATTTCTTCCGTTAAATAAGTTTTCGTACACTGAATTGATACGAAAGATGAGATCAATGTGCAGGGATTGTTGGATAATGCATTTTCCCAAATGAACCGACTGCAATAACATACAGGGTATTTTTAAAATGACATGTTGATATTTGAGATAGTTTCTGGTCCATTTTGAGAATATGTAAGACCATAGATTTTTTATTCTTCCCAGTAACCTCTGGGTTTGGAAATTGTCACCGAGAAACTTAACAAAAAAATGAGAATTCACATATAAATATATTTTTTTATAAATAAACAAACTTTATGGTCATCTTAGTCAAAATTAGGTAAGTATCTCGGAATTTGAGATACCCAGCTATAAACTCGTATGGACTTGCCTTTTGATATCCTAAAAGTTGTCTCAAAATCCTACATTTAGTAGGGTGTTCATGGAATCTAAGGTAAAAGATAAAAAAAGTCGATTTTTTACAAATATCTCGTTTGCTATGGGTTTTCCGCTACTTGTATTTGTTATCAATATTGTAGAGGATCAAATGCCCTACAACTTTTGTTTCAACCTTTTTTTTTAATATTTTCAATCCTTTTCGAGATAGAGGGCGGAGAGAGCTCGGTTAGCGTCATTTAAGGTCAACCGGTAGTCCAGATCAAAAACACGCCATATAAAGTTTACTAATTATTGATAATCCTAACGTTTCGCCAGCACGAGTGGCTGGATTCTGATGATCTGATGATTCACCGACGTCATCGGTGAATCATCAAGATGAATAAACCTCTGAAGAAGTTCAAACTTGGTTAAGGCATGATTTGGAACCCCAGGAATGGGGTTGGACAATGCATAAGAAATTCCTGTAGCCAGTATAATAGGCAAGCTTGTCTTAATGCTTTACCAAAACAGAGCAATGAAAATGAAAACAGATCCTTTCACCTCCAAACCATGGAAGACCTGCAGACGAAAGTCGTTGAAGACGATAAAGACGAGGAATTTGAAATACTACAGCAGTCAGAAGACGATAAAGAAGAAGATGGTAATTAAAATTATAAGTTGTAGTTTTTGTGATTTTTAATGAATTTTTTCATTTTCATAATCATAATTGTATGTAATACTTTTTAATAAAAACATTAATTCAGAATGTCTTTCTTCTTTTATCCATTGAAGAAATTATCAATATGAATTACATTAGGATTGGAATATAATTTAAGTATTTTCATCAACAATTCTATAACTACACGGGCAGGTGAGTGTTATTAAATAAACTGATACTTGATTGAAAATGGATACGTAAGTGAAATAATCATTAAATATTATGTAATAGTTGATGAGAAATGAAAATTATCAATAATTACGTATTTATCAGTAGTTAGTAAACTTTATATGGCGTGTTTTTACGAGACTACCGGTTAAATTTAAATGATGCTCTAACCGCGCTCTTCACCGTCTATCTCGAAAACGATTCATCCTATGAAAAATTTTTGAAACAAAAGTTGTGGGAAATGTGATCTTCTACAATATTGGTAACGAATACCAATAGCAAAAAACACATAGGAAACGAAATATTTGCAAGAAATGTGCAAAAATTGTTACCCTGACCTTAGATTTAGATAGTCGTGGACCCCCTACCATAATGTAGGTTTTAGGACAACTTTTAGCATATCAAAGTACAAGTTTATACGAGTTTATAGCTGGGTATCTCAAATTCAGAGGTGAATTTACTAATATGACTGGACTATTATTGGAACTATGAAATACAAATCTTTGGAACTTATGGAAAAGTGAAATTCGTATAGTTCGTTTAATTCATTTGGATTAGTGCAAAATAAAGACAATGTCATAAATATTCTATTTTATTTCTGATTGATTCGGCCGTTACACAATGAAGATCCATAGTAATTTCATAAACTACACATTACGATTTAATCTCCACAAACTTTATTTTAAAATAATATCAAATGTTTTGCTAACACTTTCGTAGTGAAATTACATACTACAAGTTCATTCTTATTCGGATATTTATAGTGTGTGAAAGGCAAATGGAATAAATTCATTATTTCGGTTACGATTCATATTTTAACAAAATCCCGAAACACGTCAAATTTAAATTATAATTTGACATACTTCAACGGAAAAATGCTACCCCTACCTTCAACCCCAGTTAAATGACAGGTACAATCCCCAATTTTTCAAATGGGAAGTATAGGCTTGTGATATATTCTTTGAAAGGTATCTTCATTCTCTATTCAAAAATGTTATCGCTTCCAAGTTTATTGCAACAATTAAGATGAAATGAATTAAAATCATGTGGTTACCGAAATTCGATAAAATACACCCAAAACTTATTGCAATATACTCAAAACTTATTTCATGTTGAGGTGTTGATGATACGAAAGTAAGCATAAACCATAGCATTCTTCTTGTTATATGGTATCCTTTAAAAAACTGTAAATAATTTCCGCGGCAACGTTAGTTTAAAACGCCTTGTCAACTTATTTTGTATGTTACAACATTAGTTGTCAGTATTTTAATTGAAGTTCAAAGTTCGTTAACTTCAAGTCTGACAAATGAAAATATATAAAATAACAGTTTTACAAATGATTGGTTACGGAGATAAAAACCGAACACAACAGGAAATAGTTTGCCTATTTCATGAGACATTTCCTAATTTACTGCCCACGTCTCAAGGAACAATAAGCAAAATAGAGTGTGGGGCAGATAAAAAAAGCAGCTGCCAATGCAATCAGTGATGAATTCAAATTAGATGAGATGCTTGAGTTCGAGGAAAACCCACATACATCGAGTAGACAGGCATTCACTACATTCAATGTTAGCCATACATCAATAGTAAACATATTAAAAGAAAATAAAAAGCATCCCTATAAAATGATACCTACTCAGGAGCTCATGGAAGACGATTTTGATAGAAGAACTCATTTATGTGAGCAAATGATGGACATGTTGGATAACAATATCATCCAATTAGAAGACGTTATGTTTTCTGATGAGTCTACTTTGTCTCTCAACGGTCATGCTAATCGGCAAAATTGCCGCTATTGGTCAATGGAAAATCCTCACTGGATGAGAGAAGAATACACGCAATACCCTCAAAAGGTTAATATTTGGGCAGGGATTGTAGGAAACCATATCATTGGTCCTTGAGGGTAACTTGAATGGCGATAATTATTTGGCACTACTTCATAATGATGCCATTCCAAGTTCAGTAAATTTATACTCTGATCCAGGAAACCCTCAATTTCCAGTGAATATGATATGGTTTCAGCAGGATGAAACACCACCACATTACCAAGTTACTGTCTGGCAATACCTCGATACATTTCCCAATCGGTGGATAGGGAGGCGAAGATCGATTAAATTGCCAGCGCGATCACCTGATCTTTCATCATTAGATTTCTTTTTATGGGGATATGTAAAAAGCAATGTGTACAAAACTAAATCTTCAGATATGAATGACTTAAAAGAACGAATAACGCTTGCGATTAGGTTGGTCACGTCTGATATGTTAAATATTGTTAGAATAATGTTATTTGAGATTAGGATGTTACCAAGACGTTCGCGGTGAACATTTGAACACCTTCTTCGTTAACATCCATAGTTCTTTTTCGTATTCTACATTTCATTACCTTTTGCATTACAATTTAGTTTTTGAGTGTATTTTATTGAATTTCGGTAACCACATGATTTTAATTTATTTTATCTTAATTGTTGCAATAAACTTGAAAACGATAACATTTTTGAATAGAGAATGAAGAGACTTTTCAAACGATATATCACAAGCCTATACTTCCTATTTAAAAAATTGGCGGTTGTACTTGTCATTCGAAGAGGGTTGAAGATAGGGTGCCATTTTTACGTTGAAGAATGTCAAATTATAATTTACATTTGACGTGCTCCGGTTTTTTTTAAAATATGTGCAGTAACCGAAATAATAAATTTATTCTATTTGGCTTTTACACACTGTATACCCTATGTAAGCACAATTGAAACTACCTAGGTACTCACTTGATCAAATTACCTGAAACATCTACAACTTTTATATACCTATGGTAAATCTCCAATTATGATTTCCTGAAGCATATTACATCAATACTAATACTTCATTGGTTTTTAAGAAAACAAGTTCAATAATAGTGATCTATTCAAATTCAGTAAGTCATTCATTGGAATTTTTTAATTTTTAAATTCAATAATTTCCATTTCTCAATCATCTCAATTGTGATTACGTGGGGTATATAAATATCAGAGTAAGAATGAACTTTAAGTACTAAAAACACTACGAAAAAGCTACTATGATATCAAAACGTGATAATTTTTAAAAATAAAGTTTGTGAAGATCAAATCATAAGGTGTAGCTATAAATATTCAAGCATACCTCCAAATGAACCCACAGACATCCATAATCAGTGCCGACATCGATTTAAGGAGTTCTTTCGAGACAGTCCTCAAAAAGTTTTAGGATGCACGTCCATAAACTCTCCCACCTGATGATGCACCCCAACGTAAGGTTTTATGTGGAATTTTTGGAGGTGAACGGGGATCATTAACAATTGCTTGACTTCAATGAGAGAACATAATATTAAGTTTTCAGTGATGTATTGACAAAATTCAACTTTTTGAAAAATTTAAATGTTTTTGATTTGTGTGTTTTCCTTTACAACAACATACTGAACAAACTAAAATTTTATCTTGTACTATGTGGTTGGTAGGTTTCTATTCCAGCATGAAAAAATATATAGTTTATTCCACTTGAAATTAGTGATTTATTCGTAATTCTTATCGTAATGAAGGAACGATGTCTTTAACAGACCCGGTATGTATGATCTCCAAAATTGGCACAAATTGTGAAAGTTCGGTATCTTGTCTCAATTTCTGATATGTTTCACTTCTTCAGTTACAATACCATATCATATATTGCTTTTTAATCGAAACTGAATTCTGTTGAAAGGTATCGAAAAAAAATTCTAAAACGGGTTGAGATATCAAAAAATTGGTAAAAATAAAAGTTTGTTTGAAGGTACTTGACAATGTTACTTGGTGCATTTCATTAGTTTGGACTTCCATTGTCTAATGATATAAATTGATTTCAAATACCTGAAAGAATCTGTAAAAATACGTTATTTTCTTCATTCTATATTCTACTGGTCCACTGAACTTGAGTTTCCCTGTATATTTATATAGTTTTTGTCAAAATGAACTCAAAATAACCTCTCCTAATATTAGTTCCGTTATTGAAAAACAATCTGTACTTCAAATTTGAACCTGTTCCGAAGGATAACGAAAATATAAAAGTTGTGAACTTACATCATTGGTCAGCATATTAAATATGACTAATATATTTTTCTGATGAGTTTGGGTGAGTACAGTCATGTTTCTCAACTGGGAATAATTAATTCAGCATATTTTGATAGTTGACACCTTGAGACCCTCTAGTAGCAGGGTTAATATTATTGAAGATACGTGAATCAGAAAAGTGAAAGATGAAATGAAAGATACTACAAAAATGAGCAATGCGAACAATTAAAACATGCAATAATTTTCACGCTGTAGATTTGACTTTTGTAGTACCTTGCTGGGGGTGGTGTACTCTTTTTAGAAGGTATTATGCGTGGAGTCACCGTGGTGGTTCTAGTTGTAGTAGAGTATTTTCTGGTTGTGGAAGTACTTGTAGTTGTTCTTTTAGTGGTAACCTCTTCCACGTCATTTATGTCATTCCTGTCTCCCCTAAGAGTGTTATTTACATAAAAATTGGTCTATTTTTTATGGAATGAGTACATACCTATATGGCTGTCGGTTGCTTTGTCTGAAGGCACTTTGGTCATCAACCTGAAAAAATCAATCAATTAGTTGATTGAGTTGATTATCTGAAGTTTAGTGATTGACAACACTGATACTTTACGTATTGAGAAGAACTGTTGAAACTTCAAATTTTCTCGCGTCTAATAAAATGATTAGATATTTTTGTCACAACATCTATATCTAGTGCAAAAAAATTGATTTTGTTCGTCCTACGACAATGAGCACTTCAACTTAAAAAAATAAACGCATTAGTAGTTGGCATAGTTGCGTATTGTATTGTACTTACAATACTATTGTAGTTGCCATACAAGAGTTGTGAATTAACATTTTACAGATTTCCGTAATCATAGAATGAACAATATCATTTTCGCATGCACCATATACGATATATGACCAAAATATTAAATAATTTTATGAAACACGATAAAATTGAAAGTTTTGTAATTAAAATCACAGTAATTACATTTCTTCTTTTTTATATTTTATGTCAAATATCAGTTTTAAAAATCATGAAACGCCCACGTGAATATGAAATATGAATATGATATGAAGAATGCATGAAAAGAGTTATATCAAACACTAGTAGATACTACTAGTGTTTGATACTACAGAATATACATCTAAGATGGTCTTCACAATATCAGGTACATATTACTGCATTGGAAAAAGTAAAATACAAGTCTTCAATATACTATGCTTTCAAACTGAATATCAGAATAGGAGATCGTTACTACTTTCACACAGGCACCACTCTTAGAGCGCCTTAACGATTTTCTTGTAGTGCTTCTTTTTTTTGTCCTCAAAAATAATGAACTTGAGCAATCTGCGTCCACTGCAACGCAGATTTGAAATTCATCTTTGAATTATTGTATTGTTTTTTTCTTTGCCCAAAATTTTTCAAACTTGTTCATTTTGATGTTCCTAGTAAGGTGCTAAGAAACCAAAATCTCTTATATATTGAATTTCATGCTACAAACTATGTATGGTCTATTGAAAGAATCTTGAGAATTTTGAACGATCTGAACACTCATTTTTTTTTCAATATCAAATTTAAACTTTGGGAGATATATTAGGAATATCGTTTGAACGTTTTCTTAAATTTAGAAGTAGACATGTAAGTTATATGTGTTGTGTACAGATAAGTGTATTGTATACAGGGCGTTCCAACGAAAACTTGACCTCCCCTGTAAGTCAGAAACGGACATGTTATCGAAAATTTCAAAGAACACGTCAATTTTCATTTCTAGGGGGACTAATTCTGATATGAAAATCTTACCCGAAACTTGACCCCCCTGCGTGCGATCAGCAACTAACCCCCCTATTTTTTAATTTTAATGAGGAAATTAACAACATATAATATCAGTGGAAACAAAATCAACCGATAAATTGTTCTAAATGACCTCCACCTAGTTCCATACAGTAATACAGTCTACTCTCGAAAGCGTTCCGTACCTACATTATTCAAGATGTTCTTCAATGAAGAATGGTCCAACAATATGATGACCAAGAGTGCCGGCCCATACATTCAATTTTTGTGGAGTTTGTGAATGTGTATCCATCACCAAATGAGGATTCACATCGCTCCATTAACGAAAATTAGGTCAATTCACTTCACCATTCAACATGAAAGAACTTTCGTCTGAAAAACATGTATTGTATAATAGGTTTGGGTTATTGGTCAATTTCTCCCTGAGCACCTCACAAAACTGAAGTCGACGATCAGGATCATTTTCGTTTAATTCCTGAACTAGCCTTATTTTGAAAGGATGGAATTTGTAGGCTTTCAAAATCCGAAAAACACTAGTAGCTGATACACCAGACGCTTTAACTACTTAGCTGATGTATTGTCGATTATCCATTTGTACATGTCCTAAAACTGCAACTTCAACTCCGTCATTTCTGACAGGACGGGACATTTCATGTTTTCTGTTGTGAACCAGAATCTGAAGTTCAAAACTTATTCATCAACTGTTTAACGTATTGAAGGATTACGTTGTGGTCTAGACGATTCGTAATATAAATTCTTGCAGCAACTTTAGCACATTATTTCGATAATAGGTGGCAACAAATTCTATCCTTTCTTCAGTAGAATAATCCATGTTGGAACACAGTGAACAAGGATGACTGAATAATAATTCGTGATGAAGTGACAATGGCCAACTATCTACTTTTTGTTCTGCAATAACTAGATTCAATAAAAACTACCAGTGCAGAAAAAAACAACAATGTCGTCCATTATGAGATATATTCACAGGTTCTTTACAGGATATGAAATCTAAGGCATTTTGTTTTATCAATATTCAGAAAAAGACGATTTGCCGAGGACCAATTATTAACTGCGGATAAAGTTTCCCCACAGTTTTCCGTTATAGAACTTTCTCGGATATTGGAAATTATAAGTGAGGTGTCATCTGCGTACATAGTGAAGGATGCTGGCACAGAGAGCTTATCAATGTCGTTGATGTGAATTATGAATAGAAAAGGGCCAAGTACTGACCCTTGTGGGACACCCAAGTCATTTTTCAAGTACCCAGATGACACCTTTTTAATTGAGACATACTGCCATTTGTCACAAAGATATGACCGTATCCAATCCAAAGGTGTACCCCTCACATAGTGATAGAGTTTATCCAAAAGAATTCTGTGATATACACAGTCAACTCGACCCCCCATGCCGTTGAAAAAAAATAGGGGGGTAGTTGCTGACCGCAGGGGGTGAAGTTTCAGGTGTGAGTTCCGTATCAGAATCGGTCCCACAGGAAATAAAAATTGACGTGTTCTTTGAAATTTTCGATTACACGTCCGTTTCTGACTCACGGGGGGGGGTCAAGTTTTCGTTGGAACGCCCTGTATATATTTTTTTGTAATGGAGTTTAACCCGTGAACTGATAAACGAATGAAATAAAATGAATAAAGTAGACTTGAACTGGATGTCCGAATTAGAAAACTTATCGGTACCTGGGTATCGTATCTGTTATCTTCACTGTAATCTGAGACTGTAGAGGGCTGGTAGAGGTTCTGCTGGTTGTAATTGTTTTCAATGAAGACGGTGTTACCGCGTTTAGGTATATCGTTTTTAGCTGATGTAGATGGCGCTGTGCGGTAGGTTGACGTTTGAACCCTCTGGGCACTGTTGTAATTCTCTTCTTGACGAGGATATTCTAAAAAAAATACGATAATATCACAAATATGAAATTACATCTCATACTAAGGGTCTGCATACTCACCATCGTCTAGACCTACATCATCTTCGTAATAGGCGTAGAAGGGTTCATATCGATTGTCATTATATTGTGTGCCATTATACAATTTTCGGGTTGGAGCAGTGGTTGGGGGCGGGGGAGGTGGGATTGTTTTTTCTTCGCTGAAATGAGAAAATGGTGAATTTTGATTTTATTATACTGAATTGATTTCTAAAAACAAAATATTCAATGGGGATAAACTCACCAACTAGGTAACTTTTTTATTATTTTCTTACCTGTATTGTTGATTTTGTGTTCCAAATGATATCACACCAATTTTATCACCTCGTCCACTGTACGCCTGAAAAAAATAACATGTAATAAGTGAAGTGTGAACGCCACCAATAAAAGTATCTATCTATACTAGAAATGATTTTAATTTCACTCTAATGCTCTAAGTTGGTTTGTTAGATAGATTATTATTTTATCTGCTGTATGGAAAATATTCGTTATGGAAATTGATTTAATTGATGTATGACTAATGAGCAAACAATCAGAAATTACTGTTGATATTGTTTTTGTGCGTCAGTCACTATTTAGATCTTACATGTCCCCGAAAATGGACTGGAAAAGGAGGATGAACAGAACGGCCAGCGAACTTACCCGATTTAACCCTGCTTGATGTTTGAAACTTTATATTTAAAAAGCTTCCGGATTCAACGTTCCCTTTAAATGACGCAAGGCATAAACCAGAAATGAAAGTTCAGATGATTGGCATTTTTCAGGGCTGTATAGTACTCCATAAGACCTACTGGTCTTATGGAGTAACCTGTTTTATGAATTTTGACTAACGAATATAGCTGTGGAGGTTGTGGAATCGGTAATATAAATTTATCTTTGTTATTCTCTGAAATTAGTGATTTGGAATTATTGATGACTTATCTACTCTCGTTCTGGAATCTGGTGATAGGGTCTTTTTGTAATGCTATGTAACCTAGTATAAATATGTCTGTACATTTACTGAATACCATTTTTGTTTAAGAAAGCTATAGGAATTTCGAAACGCGTCACATATTGCAAGTACCAATATATTGTGGATATTTAAAAAACAATTTATATAAAATCCTTCAATCTCCTTTATGTGATATATCATCAGCTTTAGACCACATATTAATTCAACTCTAACCACTTTCGAAACAATTGAGAAAAAATATTGTTTGTTCCTGCATTGTGTTATCGTGTATGAGTGAATACAAAAATGATAGTTTTGTTTTTACAAAAAAATTCGGGACTTGGACACCCTCCAAATCTAATATCAATATGTGAGGAATCAAATTGAAAAATGAAGGGGAAACTTAAAAGCCAAGATGTGCAACAGAGGCTCTTTGTGAATGCACTGTTAACAGACTTCCCAACTAGCATTTCCTGTTGTCTACACCCAAGAGCGATCCATTTCAACTCTCAAAACTGGAGAAGACAGACTGAATGGTTTGGCTTTACTGACTGTTCATCCACAAATTGATATTCCTATGGAAGAAGTAATTGACCAGTTCGCAGCTGAGAGAGCTAAAACATTGATCTTTTTGATTTAATATGTTTTCGTTGGTGTAACTTATGAAGACGTTTATGATGAGTGTTGGTTCCTTTGAAATTGTAAGTGGTGTACCATTAACTCCCTCTCGCTCTTTCGAAAGATTTTAAACCAATCACTGAACTATTTACAAAAAATAAATTTTGTTGCAGATTAGATTTACGATCATGACTTATGTTTTTCTCAAACTGAAGAAAATATTTCGACAGCCAACCCAAACTCGCTGCAGCGACAAAATTTACGTAGCGTGCCATTTGCAAATACTTCATATTTACTCGTATAACGAAATAATTTCTTGTCTTGTGATTGGGTTTTTTATTACAGGTATTTTAATAAAATGAATAAAAACCAAGACTTAAGAAAATGAAACCACATTTGGAGAATATTGGTACATATTAGTTCCTCAACAATAAACGTCAGAGAACTGTATAATTTTAGTGATTGTACTAATATAATCAGACTCCTAATGCCATTATCTGTTTGAATGATACATATGGATTACTATATTTCCATTTTAGATCCTAAGGAAATATAATATATTTATTTCTATTGATATTAGTTTTCAGTCATTAAAATAACGTAGGTACCTATAAAAGAATTTCGCATTGTAGTTATTCGTGTATATGGCAAATGTTTGAATATTTTTGAAGTTTACCGACGGTTCAATATAGGTATATTTTTCGTATTGTCGTTGTGTATTTACCTACTGCATAGTCTTTTTATGATTGACATTTTTCAAAATTATAAAATTCCATGTGCACTAACAATATAAGGGAGATATCTAGAAACTTTTACTGCACGTTTTCAAAGACGTTATTTGTTATCGTTTATTGTTTTTTCTAAAATCTATCATTTACATACATCATTTACATTTACATAAAGAAAAAAATCAACAAAAGGAAAAGTAACAAATCAATTAATGTCGTACCGTTGATTTCTCAATGAAATCATTTCTTTGAAGTACAATGCCACGTTTGTGCTACTTTCAATGTACAAGTTGAACATATGTTTTTTCTAGTGAATGTACCTTGACTTTTTTGGAATAGTTATAGTGCCACTGAAATCCAGAGAAAGCAAAATATTCAGAAGCTCAATTGTCAGTCGAAATCGCTCGTTCACGCATCTATTATTCAATTGTGTTCAACTCTATGATGTACAAGTTTCAAACTTAGAATTAATTTTTGCTATTCTGAATTACTTTATTGATGTAAGTTATTGAGATTTTTACTTCAAATTTCTGTAAACAAAAAATCGAAATGTAGCGATAGCTTAGGCTTACCAGGTCCTATTTTGGGTCCGGTACTTTTTTTATACAAATGATTTCGATTATATTGCCTTCTATCCAGATAATTCTTTACGTGGGTTACATACACTACAATGTTGAGAAAGATAGAGTTCTAACTGAAAAATGCCAGTATCCCACTGATTCTTCAGTGGGCTGGTTTGAGGCACGCTCTTTACGTTCGAATAATTCTAAAAGTAATATGATCAGATTTCATCACCAGCAAAATAACTGTCCTGACATCAAAATAAAAGTAAAAAATATAAATATAACTAGTAACACCAAACAATGTATTTGATAACAATTTAAATCGGAAAAGTCATTGTTATTCTCTTTACAAAAAGCTGAACTCAATTTATTTTCTGTCTATAGGTTAGGTTAGCTATGTTAGGTCTAGAATGAGTAATGGGTCTATTCAACCCTCCACCGCAACGGTTTATTGTGGCTCACACCTATTCACACTCGACCAAATAAACCCAGCTTCTTAACGAAGCCGATTAGTTTGTATGGTGAGTGGTATTTCAGGTCAGATAGTAAGAGTACAGTTCTGCCTGATTTGATCCCCAATGGGGCAGGCACAAAGTATATGATCTGCTGTTTCATCATTTTCCAAACAAGGGCGACACACACTGTCCTCCGACAGTCCGAATCTCTGCATATGATGATTCAAATGACAGTGACCTGTAAGAAGGCCTATTAGACATCGTTGTTCATCACTACTCTAGTTCAACAACTGTTTGGTATCAAGCTTCGAAGGCATTGGAGTGAGCCCATCCTTGAAGATTCTGCCAGAAGTCCATAAATCTTCTTGCCATCCAGGTGTTCAATGCTTGTTTGGCAAAGCGTAAAGCGATGCCAATGACAGGTTCTGGTCCGATGAAGCTGCTTGCAGCACCCTCCTTTGCAAATCCTTCAACATGTCCATAGGGACCGTCTGGCTTTGTGTAAAACTTTTTCCAAGTGAACGTTCCAGGTGAGTTTTTCATCAAGAACAATGCCAAGATATTTCACCTCCGTTCCAAATGGAATGACTTGTCTATAACCAATTCTCACTTATGCTCAACTTTTGAAAATTGATTACGCTCAAGTTGAAAGCAGTCTTAAGTATGGTATCCTGTCCTTGAGGTAGTTAACCCTATCACTTAATGCCTGATGTGTTTATAGCACAATTATGAGAGTGATTGAAGATTATCCAAAAGAGTAATTGTAATAAAATGTTTTCAAGCACTTCAAAATTTCAACTCTATGTGATATAATCATTCATAAATCTGTATTACATGTAATCAATATTAAATCGCAAATATTTCTTCATAATACCAGGTCATGCAACAGTCTACCTTTATGCAGAGATAGTGCTTTTATTATTTCTCATTTTTTTATTTTTCTATAAACATTTGCAAAAGTCTGCCAGAAGTCATGACTAGTGCAATGATAACAAAAGTTTTCAAACAGAATCTGAAGTTGTATCTTCTGAATAATAAATATTATAATATATCCGATTTCTTTTCATTGCACATTTTATACTGTATGTGCTAGTAATAATTTTAAATAATCAACATTGTACCTAGTTAGTATAAGAATAATCTAGCTGGTCGTATCCCGCTAACCCAGATATATTTAATCATGTTTTATGGCCCCACTTTGACTATTCCTATACGCATTTTATTAACATATATTGTAAATAAATTTTACTATTATTATCATTAGTTCAGAATATGACTGACTATTTATTGTACATTCAAAATTATCCCCTCACATCTCAGCGAATCAATATCGTTCTTTCAGAATTCTATCCTTTTGGTCATTACTATTATTATCCTAGCTATTTGCTTCTTGTTGCTACCTGAAATTTGTGTTTGTATAACTCGAATTATGTAAATAATTGAAATATATGCGTGTCCTTACTTGACAGCAATTCATATACTGTATTCCAAGTAATAGAAGGAGTTAATCATACTTATTTCTCGTTTGCTAACATTATAAATATCAAACAGCCTAAATGTTACAGCTGATGAAGGACGTTGGGAGTGGAGGGAAGTGAAAGTATCGGAATTTACAATGTGAAAAAATAATTAATTTATATCCAGGAGTAATATTTTGTTCAAATCTTGACCTTGCGATATTATTGAAGGTCGTTTAAGAACTAGTTTTGACTAATCGGATTGATTAAAAACTCCCACAGTAATGTGAACAATTTGAATGGTCGTTTAAAAACTAGTTTTGACTATACGGATTGATTAAAAACTCCCACAGTAATGTGAACAATTTGAATGGCCTTTACCGATACCATCCTCCAGAACTGCAAATACAGTCCAAATACAATGGATAAAGTAAGACCTTATGTATTCTCTTGATCATGAAATTTAGATTTTAGTCAAAATATGCGATTCAGTGGTGAAATTTCAATTAACAGAAATTACAACCAATTTGAGAAAAACATGCGAGAAATTAGAAATTTTTATTAAGGGTTGATAATTTTCTGAGTATC